CCATATATCGCAAACTGCATGCCTAAATAATCACATGCTTGTGTCAAATCATGTTGAGTTGCTAAGTAATCCCAAATGCACTTGATTTAATGGGTTTTGTCACTGTGATGTTATTTTTGAAAAGGGACAAAAGTGTGGACACAGTCTAGTTTTTGAGATAGATAAAAACAATTGAAGCTGCTATGAGGTGTACTTTTGTCCATTTTTACAGAGGACAATATGATTTAGGCTTGCAGTTTGCATGATAGAAAATGCTGGGGTATAAGTTTCCATTCCTTTTTAGCTAAATTAAACTTGTTTTTCTAGTGCAAAACTAAGGGTGACGTTGTGTAAATTTGATTATTCTCTTCTCTTCTTTTCTCACTTTCATTTTCTCACTCCTACTCTCTATACATTCCCCCAGCCACAGAGGCGATGAACACCTGTTACATCACCAGCACCTACTCTACATGTTCAGTGGAGGAGATTTGTGCTGCAGCACCAAACGGTTACCGCTGGTTCCAGCTGTATGTGTACCGTGACCGTAAAATCTCAGAGCAGATTGTGCACAGGGTGGAAGCGCTTGGCTACAAAGCCTTGGTGCTCACTGTGGATGTGCCGTATACTGGCAAACGCCGTGATGACATCCGCAACCAGTTTAAGCTCCCACCGCACCTGAAGGTGAAGAACTTTGATGGGACCTTTCAGGTAATTATGGGGAGGTGGGATGAAATGTAACGATTATGTTAAAATGGGATAAAATATACTCGGGTGCCCAATATACTTCTGGGGTTAGTAAAGTAATTCTGAGTAGACCTGGAACACTCTCTGAATACAATTTATGTCTTGTTTATTTATTATTATCATTTATTCATTTATATCTCTCAGAAAAGTTACAACAACAAGCAGTAACAAGCAGCTTTACTGAAATTATCCCCGTAGTTAATTAAAAACTTAAGTAAGACAAGTAAGAGTACTCAAACATAAGTGGAAGAAACATTAGTGTCTCATTCCTAGTTGAAATCCTCTAGATTGTACAACTAGTGCTCAACTTGGCTTGTTGAATTTTGTCTTTTAGTTGGCCAGAGTGTGGCAGGTTTTGAGCATTTAGTGTCTCTTTCCACCACTTCAGTACATTTTTCACTCCTGACTGTGTAATTTTCAATGTAATCTTCAATCATTCTCACAGACAGTTTGTTCCCAAGAGACAATATTTAAGTTTTATCAGTCAGTATCTTTCAAAATGCAACAACATTGTAACATTGAAGATCTTTGGTGAGCATGACGTTTGTGCGTATTTTTGTGTCCCACAAAAATTTTTTTTAGAAGTAAAATGAGGGGTTAGGGGAAAGTTTTCTAGTTTGCTATTGTCCAGTTGGACCAAAAGTATTGATAAGTTATAATATAGCCTACGGTCATCCATGGCTGGGCGTCCAAGAGAGCACAATTGGCCTCATTCTCTCTGGGTGGGTGAGATGGCTCCCTTATCTCCTCCAATCACTCGGCGAAATGCTAGCCAGCGCAGGTGTCTGTTAGCTGATGTAACAGAGCTGGCGGTTGGCTCTTTCCTCTGAGCGTCTTCAGCTGTCCAGTAACGTTACGTTAGCGGCAGTTCGAAAAGTTGTGGTGGCGCTTCTCAGTTCTCAGAGGAACGCTGTGCTAACTTTTGCCTGCCTAGCGCTGGTGGTATAGTGTGACTGGGGGAGTCCTAACTAGTGCTTGGAATTAGATAGGTCAAAATTGTGAAAAAGTAGTTATTATATAGCTCAAATATTTGAAATACTTTTGTATATGGTAAAGCACAATTCCCATAATAATTCTAAAAAATAATAATAATGATGGGTGTCCTAAGACTTTTAAGCACCATAACAATGAGTAAAACTCTTGACGACAATTTGACACACAGTTTGAGTCCACTTTATTCACAATACCACATCAATGTAGTGTTAGTCTATCAAATTATTATGAAAAAATTGCAGTTACTGATTGTTATAAAGTACACAGGTTGTGATGTCAGAACAGTAATGTAGTTCTATATTCTTCTTTGTGCTATAACTGATACCAATACTGAGTAATGATATGATACCAGTACTCTGTTATGGCGCTCGTATTCTGTAGTAGCAAAGTACATAAACATAGACATAGGGTAAAGTTTAATATACCATAATTGAAATGGTAGTACACCAAAATTCTTTTTAGAACGCAAATCGAAGTATTAACTTTTGATTGTGTAACACTGTGTGACTTGATCCTCCTACAGGACTCTACAGGTCCTGAAGAGTATGGATTCCCTGCCCACACTTTGGACCCATCCATCAGTTGGAAAGATGTGCGCTGGCTGCAGTCTCTCACTCACCTGCCCATTATTATCAAAGGCATCCTGACTAAAGAGGACGCAGAGCTGGCTGTGGAGCACGGAGTCCAGGGGATCATCGTGTCCAACCATGGAGGACGACAACTGGATGGGGGACCGGCTACAGTGAGAAACAAAAGTGTTCTTACAATCTAAAAATCAGTTTGCTTTTTTGTTCTCCATTTTAACTGTCTTTATCTTGTTCCCTCACTCACACTCTCTCCCTGTGTCCTTGTCCCTTGTTCCTGCACACAGATTGACTGTCTATCTGAGATAGTGGACACAGTGCAAGGCCGGATTGAGGTGTACATGGACGGCGGGATTCGCACAGGCAGTGACGTGCTAAAGGCCTTGGCTCTGGGGGCAAAGTGTGTGTTTATCGGAAGACCAGCAATCTGGGGCCTTGCTTACAAGGTAACTGAGGGAGTGAGTGTGAGAATTTATCAGTCAGTGTACAACTTGAAAAGCAAATTGAAATGCTTCATAGAGTAACTTCAGTTATTGATAGTGTAGTTTTAAGTTTTGACAGTCATGAAAAACAGAATTTTCCTAATTTTTGTAAGTAAAAAAGTTTGGTATTTACATACAATAGCATTTTTGTTTCAAAACATACAGAATCACTCTCTGGTCCAAAAAGTCTATGTTTTTGTAGTGTCACAAAATTCAATGTATTTACATCCAGCCGCATGCACACTCAAGGTCGGTTTCCACAAAAAAAGCACATGTATCAAGTTCCAGTCATTGCAGGCCAAACACTGGAATCTTCAGCACACACTGCCTCATTAAACACACCTGATTCAGCTCATCAGCTAATTAGCAAGGCCCCCATTAACTGAATTCAGACCGGTAGATGAGGGTAAACACTAATCTCCATAGCACTTTGGCCCATTTTGATGTGCCTGCTCTACAGAGAACACAGTTCTGCACATTTTAGTTTACAAATAGTGTTTGTTTTCTGAATTTAGCATATTGGGTAAAAATAAAACATTAACAGTGGCAGCCGTATTTAAGGTTTCCTGCTGAGGACACGTTAACTTATTTTCACTTTTGCATAAAACAAAAGCAGTTTAGCCCCACCCTTTCACACTGAAGTAATAAGAAGTGTTTCAGCTCGGATGAAGTACAATATCAGGCAGCCAATCAGAACAGAGTGCATTTACATATATCAGCCTTAAAGGCACAATAACAAAGACAGTCTGTTTAATTTTAAAGCATTAGGAGAGGTCGTAAAATGGTCATGTAAAAATAAGTTGTGACTGGTTTTGGTATATCATAGGTGAAGCTCAGAGAAAAGTTAAAATAAAAAATACAAAGAAAGAGTAGGATCCCTTTAAAGGCCCATCCCTTTAAAGGCCTTCAGCAATTTATTGGCAGTGACATGGATTTCTCTTTCGGTCAGGGTGAGGAGGGAGTGAGGGAAGTCCTCCAAATTCTAAGTGATGAGTTTCGTTTGTCCATGGCCTTATCAGGTATGTTCCAGACACATTCTTGTTCTCACTAATAAAAACAGTTACTATATATCACATCATCTTTTTCAGTTAATCTTCCATTCTCTTTTATTTTATCAGGTTGCAGAAATGTGGCCGAGATTAACAGGAACCTCATTCAGTTCTCTAAACTTTGACAAAAGAGCAGAAAATAACAGCATGAATAGCATCTGAAGATGGGCTTTACTCACCCAATGTGCCAGCAAAGTTCCGTCACACAAAAATGTATTTCATGGCTGTTATCCTACACAGATCAACATGCGGGTCTAAAGGAGGATATGGTTAAGAATCGTTCACTGAATACTAGAATCACAAATGAATCATATACACAGGCAGCAGAAACTCTAAAGATTATACAATATTTCATATTTATGCTATATAATAGAGACTTGTTTTAAAAAAAGAGTTATAAGATTAGAAAAATATTGTCACAATAAGCCTAAATTGGCAAGCTTGCTCTCTGTAAGATCTAGCAATTCTAAATCTATGTGTGATAATGTTTCAAGACTGAGGCACTGGTTAGCCCCAGGGCGTGTTAAAGTGCGAGATTGGTGAAAGTGGCTTTAAGATTGCAGACAGCAAACTATTAGGCTAAGACACAGGTTTGCATCCGACAGTTATTTTTAACATTTTTATCTCTAGTTGTGCAGTGTATTGTGACTAGAGGGAGAGGTTTGGTAAAAAAGAAAGTGTAGTCAGAGGATAAAATAGTGCTTAGTGGGGAACCAGTATTCAATACCTGCTAGTGTGTAGTAATTTAAATCAAACGTCAATTAATTCAGCGTAATAAACACTTACTTGTATAGCTGCCTCTAGTCAATGTCCTGAGTCGTCTTGAGCTTATATATTTTAAGCAGCAAAGCTAGTTTTGGTAAAGATCAGGGTTATTACGCAAGAATAAGAATCTTACAAAACCAGAGCACACACTCTGTTTTGCATGATTTTTTTCATATGTATCAAGATAAAACCAAAATCATATAATAAAGAAATCTCTTTTAAATGTATTGCTCGACTGCATTCTTCTTACACTAGCTATTTGAAGTCAACTTTAAACTTTGGTGTGGTCTGTCACTGTGTGCAGTTAAAAGTGCTTCACTAAGAGCAACATTGAAAGCAAGAGATCAAAAAGTAGGGAAACACCTAAGATAAGACACATAGGAGGTCTGTGTCCCATACACACACACACACACACGTTTGTCTTACATTACTTGTAAGGACTTTCAGTGACTACTGTTGAATTTTGTACTAGTTTTGCCAAGTAATACTTCACCTTCAACTAAACCTAACCCTAACCTCAGTATCCAAAAAGGCTCTTTACTTTTAAAACTTAATTTGTGGTGAAAATAACATGTGCTCAAGTGAGGACCAGCAAAGTGTCACCACTTGGGCAAAATGGTCATGTTGTCTTATCAATGTGAGGACATGGACAAACACACACGCACGCAGAGTACATCACTGTGCAAAAATCAGAGACCACCTATCCATTTCCAGTCAAAACAGCCATTAAGTACAAGTTGTTCATTTTTGGAGTTAACTATTTAGCAGAAAATTACACAGAAGCCTCAACAACAAGTATAATACATTGTTCAGTAGTGTTCAACCTTTGTCTTTTTGGGTGCCTTGCTTTTAGTTTTTCAAAGTTTTGTTAGGGATATTTTTTATGCCTCCAAAATTCAGTCTTAGAAGTTGGTTACATTTTCTGCTTCGCTGCTTTTTGACAGCTACACATCCTTTCAGACTCACGGTGTTGAGTTGTCTTCTTGCAGTGGAAGGATGAACAGTAATACCCGTGGATTTTTTCTAGATCTGAAGCAAGAGTGGAGCTTGATTTTCTCCTCTCTCTCAAAGTTGAAAGCTCTAACTACTGTTTATCTGATGGTGACAGTTTTGGTGGTCTGTCAGGTCTTGCACAGTTGTTAGGTGTCCCATTTTCTCTGTACCTTGTCACAGTTTTTGACCTTCAACACCTGTTTTTGCACTTATTTCATGTGACTTTCCTCTTCCATCATATGCAAGTGGGCTATCTTATATCTAATCTACTTAGAAATATCTCCTTCAGGCATTTTAGATTCACATGAGAAAGAAATTTGCAGGGCTGCTAAGGTGTGTTTGGGTAGTTGCTTGTGTAAATGTGAATGAACGTCTCTTTGAAAGGTAACAAAATGTCAGTGAGAGCTTTGAGTCTTGCTGGGAGAACACAGTAACATGAAGATAAATAAATAAATGCATGGTCTTTTGCACTTCTGCATGGCCTGTATATTAGTCATATTTTATTTTGGGAGTCCCCTATAGATCATCTACAGATGCTTTAATTGTAAACCATCCGGTGAGATCAGCAATGTTAAAATTAGGTTTTAGGTTGAAGGTTTAGGATTAGATTTATAAGAATTTATTACATTATGTTTAGAGTTTAGATGTATTTATGGATGCATCTGTAATCTAATAGATATTGCATCTATTTCTAATAAGTAGTTGAATGTTACTTAAAGACAAGCATCTACAGTGGACTCTCAAAATAAAGTGTTAGCAATATAACTAAATAGGTATGAGCCTTGTTTTGCATGGCACATTAGGAAAGAGGACCATGCTTCCTTTTTTGCCACTATTAATAGTTGTACCACTGAAGTGCATGCACAGAATTCATATGACAAAACTGATGCTTTCATCAAAAGCGTAATGTAAAAAATTGTATGCAACTGTGCATTTGACAGCTGTGAGACTGTCGGTGTGTGTGCGTGTATTTGTGAGAGAGACAGACAAAGATCGAGAAGGAGAAGTGACACAGGAAGTCAAGAGGCTTGCGGTAAACAGCTCATATGCCTCAATTTAAAGAAGCGGTTTGCAGTGCAATGCTCAGTGCTGTGATGAAAGGAAGACTTTGAAGCTCCACAGAACAGATCAGTGTTCGGTAAGCACCCTTTATAGGGAACCCTTATTTCTTACGTTTTCACCAAATTCTATGATATATAAAAGTAGCTGCGTTACCTTCGTAACATGCTTGTTGAGCAGAGAATGTGCCGTGATATGTTGAGTAACTCATAAGTATTTGGGAAAGACTTAATTGTCAGGAATGTGAGGATATGAGGTGTGATCCATGTGCGTGTGTAGTTCTGTAGAAAAGAGTGATGTGTTAGTCTGTGAAAGGGGAATGTTTTAAAATCTACTTCTGCTGTCTGTATCTGCCATGTTTAGTTTGGGAAAGGCCCATATCCTGTGTGTGCACGCATGTCATAAAAAATAACACCTGTTACTGGGGCTTCTTCGTGTGGGGTGCTCATGCTAACCTCCTTTCATTTCCTTTTTCAGACACGTTGTTGCTGTGTGAAAGTGTTTTCTGGGTCATGCCTATAGAATCGCAATAAGGGGAACGACGTTTGAACATCGTATGTGTGCCTGGATTTCTTTGAAAAGGAGTATTTACGACAAAAAAGACTTCATAAACATGGGGTAAGATTAGTTTCTCTTTATTTTGTTCATTATAAGGCATCAGACCAGCTGTTTTGACAGGATAGCTTTTAAGGAATTGACATAAGTTAATAGTCTATTACTGAACTGCAACAGCAGTTTATTAACACCTACAGCTAAAATAAACAGGAACATGTGCAGATGATCTTACTGTGATACCATGGTTTAGAACCTCAGGTTGGGGAAATAATTGCAATGTGCCTTTTTTGAAATAAAATAATCTTCTTTTTCAACTTTATTATTATTATTATTATTATTATTATTAATAATTGTTTTTCCCCATATTATGAGAATATGATCTCACTTGTAGATACTATATTTTCTTGGCATTTTTTCTTACCTTTAGGGAGCCAGTAATTACAGAGAAGACTTTAAGGCAGGGATGACCCAAAGTATGGCCCGCTAGCTTGTGAGCCACATTTGATTTTGTCCACCAGAAAGTTACCTTAACTACCGCTTCCTCACCTAATGAGAGACCATCTGTATTTTTATACTATAAATTTATGAATACTATAGAATTTTTAAAAATGTATTTTTCCTTTTTTTCAAAAACAGTCTTTTTAAGTATTTTAGTAACAAGATATAGTGTAACATTATAGAATACATTTTAAAAACTTTCCTTCTTTATTTGTATATTGTTTTGGGGTTTTTTGGCCCTCAGCCATCACAAACATTGCACTTTGGCCCCCCTAAGACAAAAATTTTGAGGACCCCTGCTTTAAGCTACTGCTTCCTTAAACATTGAGTGGTTTTGTTAATAATTTAATCATTTTCTTTTCACATTTGCATTTGCATGAAAATGTAATACACTGCTATATGTTGATTGTGTAATTTAAACTCCCTATGGAATATATTGTAAAATGTGCTGCATGAATGGCTTGATAAATCGATAACAGCATGGTGTATTAGTGAAGGCAAACACAAAAATATGTGATGTGTACAGCTTCTGGAATGGGAATTGAAAAGAAATGTAAAAAAGTATGAAATGGACTCAATTTGCTTTCTTTCAGAAACAGTGGAGAGGAGGGGAAACTGCACCGGAGACTGTCCCGCATAGGGAGCAGAGGACAGCGAGAACCTCCGAGACCCCCACCCCAAGCAGATAAACCCCCAACCCCTGCCCCACCAGCTGCCACAGCAAGACCACCTGAACCTGCTCCAAAACCCCCAGAAGCAAGCGCTAAACCTTTAGAACCTGCTCCCAAACCCCTGGTAGTCACTCCAAAGCCCCCTGAGGCTGCTCCAAAACCCAGTATTCCTCCCAAACCCTACATACAGGTGTTTAACAGCACAGAGCATGGAAACACCATGCTTCAGGTAAAGTTTTTATTAATGGAGGCATGAAACTCATTAAACTGCTGACGTACATTATTTATTTTGAAGACTTGTTATTTGTTAGCTGCTATAAATGTGTTATATGTTACAGTAGATATCTTTGGTATCCAGTTTGAAATTAGTATGTCAGCTGTATAGTTATGAATGAGGAATCCAAATGTGGACCCTAGCACTTTAAGGGGTTAAAAAAAACTCACTGTCTGAACAAAAAACATATATCTACATTTTTTTTTCTAGCTGCTGTTTACACGGTTCAAATTTAATAATGAATAGACGATAGAACTGGTCACAATGACTGAGAATACAATCTTGTTACATTAACAAACGTAACAAAGTTTTATTACACACTTCTTTAACCTAATAATACTTCAAGCAGTTTGCATTGAAGTCCCTGTTAACCCCAGGCTTTCTACATACTAAGGCTTATTATTCAGTAGCTACAGGGACTCCAACGCAAACTGGTTGAACTATTCTTAGTGTAATAAAACTTTAAAAAAAACTGGTCTTTTAAGGGTTTAAGGGTTGTTTTCCTTCTCCTGTAAAGTTTCTTTTTTGGAGATACAGGGTTTCATTCTGACTGCAACAAAATAAATGTTTTTCATTACATTTACTGGAACTAAACTGTCCAGTCCAGTTAATGGCCATGGCGATGCTTTCTCAGGGGCTTGATCAGTTTCGCTCTGATAAGACGTTGTGTGATGTCACTCTGGTGCCTGGAGACAGCAGCGAAACCTTTCCAGTTCACAGGGTGATCATGGCTTCATCCAGTGATTACTTCAAGGCCATGTTCACAGGTGAGTCTTGAACATGTAATTAGTACTAAAAGTATTAAAATGGACTGAGCAATGCTGAGATTTACCACTCCAAATGCATAGCACTGCTGCCTCCTGATAATGCATTTACTTGCCTTTGTTTGTAAAAACAATTTTAATTTGTTGCTTATAACAATAATAAATGTGAAGCTTTTCTCAGTCATCCTTCACTCAGTCATCCAGTACAAATCTCTCTGTAGGCGGGATGAAAGAGCAGGAGCTGGAGGAAATAAAGCTGCATGGAGTGAGCACCACAGGCTTGAAGAACATTATTGAGTTCATTTATACATCTCATCTGAGTCTGAACTTAAGCACCCTCCAGGACACTCTAGAGGCTGCCAGTTTCCTCCAAGTGCTTCCAGTCCTCAACTTTTGCAACCAGCTACTAAGCAGTGAGGTACGTGAGCTTCACAGGGGCTATCCATACTTGCTGACTTTAACATGGGGAAAAAAAAATCCAATATATTAAACAATTGTGCACTGAATTTGCATAGAAAGGCTGTATTTAAGTTTATTCTTCCGTAGACAATCTGTTAACGTATTTTCCCTTAGAAACAACAAAATGTCATTTCACCAAAGTGTCCAAACTTTTGCATATGACATTAAACATGTTATAATCACTTGTCATGTTAATGACTTTTAGCTCATTTTATAATAATGCAATAATGTATTTTTAGCTGTTCTATTTTTTTCAAAATGTATTTTTAGCTGTTTTATTTAATGTTATATAATAATAAATGATACAATGTAATAGTTGTTTTTTTCAGAACAACAAGATGTTATTAAATGATAAATACTGCTGTAATTATTCATTTATAGTATTTTCTTTCCTTGAGATTTCATCATTACTTTTTAAATAAAATACATTCTTAGTATTAATTGTATACTTAATTCTCCACCCCATACAGTTTTCTCAACCACCTTAAAATCATCTACACCTCTGTTCATTATTCTGTTCATTAATCTGGACATTATTCTGGATATCATTTATTCTTTAGTTTGTTATTTTGCTGCAGTGTCCTAAAAATTATTTGGAACCTTTTGAAGTTTCTCTGTACGCAAATCATATCAGAATCATTTTATACATGTGTATGCGTATGCCATATTTGTTAATAAAATATTATTAACAAAATAGTTTCCAGATATTTAAACAGTAGTGCACATGCCTGGAAGAGCTGGTGTGTATGGGTCTTCAAATAAGCCATTGTGTCTTTTCCATATGGCAGGTCACCATAGAAAACTGTGCAGAAGTTGAGCGCATTGCGAGTGATCTTCTCCTGGAGGACGTTCAGACCCACGTATATAACTTTGTGTGCCAGAACTTCGCTGCTCTGGTGCAAAGTGGACGCTTCCTGCAGCTGTCTGAGGCCACCATAGCATATGCCCTGTCCAGTGATTCTCTGAAAGGATTCTCTGAAATGGAGCTCTATCGCGCTGCCCGTGCTTGGCTGGCTCACAAGCCCAGTGAACGTCGACCTGCTGCATATTCCTTGATGCGCCACATCCGCTTCCCCCTGATGACCCCCGCTGAACTGCTGCAGATATCTCAGGAGGACCAGACAGATGTGGGCAGTGATGGGGAAAAGAAAGCAGAAGAGCCCTTCATGCGTTCCGACACCGCCTGTGTAAACCTTCTTTTAGAGGCCAGCAACTACCAGATGCTGCCGTTCCTTCAGCCGGCACTGCAGACCGAGCGGACATGCATTAGGTCAGACACCACGCACCTGCTGGCTCTGGGCGGGGTGATGAGACAGCAGCTGGTGGTCAGCAAGGAGTTAAGGCTGTATGATGAGGAAGGAGGAGGCACGTGGAGAGCTCTCCAGCCCATGGAGGTTCCTCGCTACCAGCATGGAGTGGCCCTTTTGGGAGGGTTTCTGTACATCGTAGGGGGACAGAGCACTTATGATACAAAGGGTAAGACGGCAGTGGACAGCGCTTACAGGTACGACCCTCGTTTTGACCGCTGGCTACAGGTGGCCTCCCTAAATGAGAAGAGGACGTTCTTTCATCTGAGCGCTTTGAAAGGGAAGCTCTACGCCGTTGGAGGGAGGAACGCCACAGGCGAGATTGGTAAGTTCCAAAATTTTTAGGTAAAAAAGGTTGTAGTTGTCATTCTTACTGCTTCACTGAATGTCATCTCTATTTCCATCATTTTTAATTTTTTTTACTGAATTTAAAAATGCCAGCTGCCCTTGACCTGTGTCCATTTCATGAGGAATGGACCAATAGAAATGGTCCAAAATTACTTTGAATAAAATGTTTTTACATTATCTTCCATCTTGTAAAGTTACCTTATTGGGGATACAATGACGAGATACAATGACAATAAGCAGCATTTACTCTCTAGGATTGGTGCTGTTGTAAAGCAATGTAGGTGAAAATGAAAATACTTAAACACTTGCCACTTAAATAAAAATGCCGCTTGTTCTAATCATACTAATCAACTTCACAGTGGTATAACAATACATAATCAAGGTCAATAGAATTGTCACCCTGTAATTTTTGTATTATCCTACCTACAGACACAGTGGAGTGTTACAACCTGAGCAAAAACGAGTGGACCTTCGTTTCGGCCATGAGTGAACCTCATTACGGCCATGCTGGTACAGTGCATGGAGGGCTGATGTATGTGTCAGGTAAGTGTCAGGGCTTTCTAAAATTAAAAAATAAATACTTACGTTTTCTAATTACTAATGTGCAATGTTGGATATAAAAGCCAAAAAAATCATGCAACTTCCAGTCCGGGGAGAAAAAGAAGTAATGTGAATAGGTAACTTCATAAGCTTATTAGGTCAGATTCCCAACATTTGCTGTGTTGACATGTTTCACTTCTCCACAGCGAGTTTAACAGAGGACCCAACACTGTTATTGTTCAGGCAACAGTAATGCCTGCAGTCTAGCAACCCTAAAAGTGAAACTCATGTTCTCAGAGTGAGAATTAAGAGAAGTAGCAGGGCCTGCTGAAAGTCAGGAAGCACATTAGTGTTAGTAGCATTGCTCTGAGCCCATCTCAGTTTAGTCAGTTATGTCAGGCCTATTCATGAATATTTGATCTGTGATTGCCACTGAAACAGCACAGGTACACAAATTAAACACTGTGACAGATCAGGAGGACTAAGGTCAGACATGGGAAGTTTCATTTCACATGAATATGTTTTACTGTTTCTTTTCATTGTACTGGCCTTTATTCAGAAAGTGTGTTAAAACTAGAACAAACCCCTGAGTGGGTGGGGGCACTTATTGTTTTGGCGATTAGGTCAGGTCCTTCAGTTCCCTCTTCTCACCACATCCTTCCTGCTAGCAGTTACTACCAGTTTGTGCTGTATATTCTCATGCCAGTACGCTGAGCATGTTTGCTACCTGCGCATAACGTGAAACTGTGACAATAGACGAAAACATTTGGAAAGCAACTAAGACAATGCAAACCAATTAATAAGCAAAATATTGGTGCATTGAATAATTAAATAGTTTTTTGAGCTACCAGACATGTCCTCAGTGCCCTGCAGTTCTTTTAGCACAGGTGCAGCATGTTTTAACTCCTTAAATTCTTAGGCCTATTACATCCTAAAGCTTATTATTCTGTAACTACATGGACTAGGCAAAATTGGCAGAGTTATTCTTAGGTTATTGAAGTGTGCAGTAAAAGTTTGGACTCAAGTTAAATTTCTCCTTCCTTCACCAGGTGGAATAACGAGAGATGCTTTCCAGAAAGAGCTGTCATGCTACGACCCAGACACAGACTCATGGAGTCGTCGAGCAGACATGATGGAGCTCCGTGGCCTGCACTGCATGTGCACTGTGGGCGACCGTCTCTATGTTATGGGTGGAAACCACTTCCGTGGAACCAACGACTATGATGACGTGCTCAGTTGTGAATACTACAGCCCTGCGACTGACCAGTGGACACTGGTGGCTCCGATGCCCAGGGGTCAGAGCGACGTTGGTGTGGCTGTGTTTAAGGAGAAGATCTATGTGGTGGGGGGTTATTCTTGGAACAGCCGGTGTATGGTGGATATTGTTCAATGCTATGACCCTGAAAAGGATGAGTGGGAGAGGGTGTTTAACGTGTTGGAGCCTCTAGGAGGCATAAGAGCCTGCACCATGACTGTCCATCGTCCAGAAGGCTCTGTAGATGAAGCTCAAATACAGGAATGTCCCCTCCCAACAGCTAAGAACTGAAATGGAGGACAGATTTTTTATTTTTTTTGGTGGCTACAGAAAAAAGGGCACTGGTAATACACCCTTAAAAATGGTTCTTTAAGGGTTTTTAAGTAAAGAAAATGGTTCTGTATAAGACCGTGAACACTCAAAGAACCCATGATTAAAGGGTTCTTCAGTTTGATGGAGAATGTGCTGTATATAGTTTTATATCGCTGCTGTCTGAACAAAACCTTGTATCTCCATTTTTGTTGTCTTTCAGTTTTTGACATAATTTGAAAATACCTGTTGCCCTTTACATTGTGTGTAAATTTTCATGATCATTGGACAAAACAAAATGGCCCAAAATTATTGTAACAAAAAGTCTGGTTCCATTGACTTACATTAAAAGTAAAGTATATTTTTCTTTCTCCTATATTTTGTAGACACTAGTTTTTGTTCCAACAGAAGTGATACAGAACCCTAGAAGGTTCTATATAGCACGAAGAAGGATTCTTCTGTTGTTACAAACTTAACATCGTAGCAATAGAAAAATCCTTTTTTGATGCTATATAGAGTCATTTTCAAATTTTCACATATAACACGTTCTCCATCAATCTGAAGAACCATTTTATGATGCAAAGAACCTTTTAATCCTGCAAAGCATTCTTTGAGTATTCACGGTTCTACATAGAACTATTTTCTTCACTAAAGAACATTTAAAGAACCATCTTTTTTAAGAGTGTAGGCCTTGAAAACATGGCAGAAGTTAATTAGAATTGAGAAGAACTGTGTTAGTTGCTCTGTATATTTTGGAAAACACATTTTGAATTGTGCTTGAAAAAGTCTCGGGTCCTCGGGAAGTGCAAAACATAATCTGCCTAATCAATTCCTACTAAATTATAATTTGCCTTTGTACCTTGCACTGGTAAAAATGATGTACTTGTACTTTTAGAAGGACGTTGGGAACAAGATGTGCAACAGTGAATATTCTGTGGATTATCATTTTTACATTTTTGTATTGCATTAATGGCAGTGTTCTGGTTATGATACATTTTTGAACTGTGCAGTCTGAGCTGTATTTTCCTACCGAGATACAATACATTGTACCATCTATGTCTTATTTCTCCACTGAAACTACAACTGTGAAAATCAAGAAGAAACAACGGCTATTGTGGTGCGCACTAAACCATCACATTCTTTCCTGAAACCTTGAACACTGATCAGATAAGATGTAAGACAGACTCAGAAAGCCAGAACCAAGGTCTGTACTGTATAAACATGAACATACTGACACAAGCCCTAATTAAAGTAAGTATCTTTCATTAGAAAGAAAAAAATGTTTAAAAAAACTATAGAATCTTAGGTAATGGATGTATAAATCACACCTCTTATTCTGCACTTGAAACATTGTATTAGTTAGGCCTTTGTTAGCTAATTGTATCATTATGATGTTTTGGGGTTTTTCTGTTTTATTTCTTGTAGTTATTTAGATGTTTTGTATGTAAATGTGCCTTCATGTCTGTTATTGTTTTAATAATTTTATAGTGTTCCTTTTTACTCCCTCTTCGTTTATTTCTGGAAGCACTTCTAGTTGTATTTTATGTATAAATAAATAAAGTTTTTCTGATGTCATTGTTGTTGTTGCACAGTAGATTATTAGTTTGTTCAACAAACACGCAAGGCCACAGCATAAAATACGTCATCATGACTGTCTCTTCAGACAAATGTGCTCAGCTCTAACCTTGATCTGTTAGCTGTCACAGGCTGCTTTTGGATTCCTGAGGTGGCAATGGGCTTGTCCTTGGCAGCTAGCTTAAAAAGGTGCCTCCCTTCTGGTCTGTGCGCCAGCCTTTAGATGACATCCTTTCCCCTCTCACAGCAGAGTGTCTCTGCAGACTTCTCCTGCTTTTCTCTGGAACATTCTGAGTGGCATACAGACAGAGTGGTAGAAACCTTGGCTATGTCTCTCAGTGGAGATATATGTGTGGTAACAGGAGCATGTGGCTTTCTTGGGGAGAAGCTGATCAGGCTGCTGCTGGAGGACGAAAAGCTTACAGAGATTCGACTGCTGGACAGAAATATCCGACCTGGCTTTATACAGTCTCTTGAAGGTAAATATCCACCTTAACATTTCAGTTTGAAGTATTGATCCATGGTGCTACACTATTTTTGCTACACATTTCTTGACATTCTACAACACAAATATAGCCATTTTATTTGTTGTCCAGAAATCACCAGTGAACCTACATGTGTCTTCTGGGTTTTTATATGCAATATTTCTGATGGTAAAAAAGTGAAAAACATGACAAAAATAAGTCTTCTTCGGGGACTATTTTGCCTTATGATGCCCTACATGTATCCCCCCACCACGAATGGATTAAAAGAAATCGATCAACGTTTTAGGCCAAAACCATCATGAAATAATGTTTCAGGCAACAGGAAGTGTATTTATAACTATTTCATGTATTAATGTTTTGTGAGGGAGCTTTTAGAGACATTAAATTCATTTTACATCAAACTACCCTGAATGACTTTATTTACACCTTAACCATTTATTTATGTAGAATTTTTGAAAAATTGGTGGAGTTTCCCTTTAAGAACCTTTCAATGTGCAGTTCTTTAAAGAACCATTTCAGTGAATGTGAACATTTTTAAAGTTTAAAAACCTTCTACATAATGTAAAGAATGTCTTAACTATTACAGTCATGCAAAAGTTCTTTTGATTTTCTAATTAAACCAATTTACTGCATCCCCTACAGGGAACAAACTTAAATTTATTACACTTTTTTGCTGAAAGTTTTTTTTTAATGTTTTTTATGCATAGGTTTGGGCACAAGCCATAGTTTAGGCTTTATCTTTTTGAAGTATGTTAAATTCAGCAAATAAATAGAAATTGCACACTGAAAATTGCAGAAAATGTAATATTTAAGTGTGTTCTCTCTAGAGGATGTGTTAACTTATTTTCACTTAGAAATCACCAGGGGTGCTCAAATTTTTCCACAAGTGTCCTAAAGGATTTTTTAACTTCAAGAACTGTACATTCGACTCTAATGACATTTAAGAACCTTTCTTTTTAAGAGTGTATGACTTTGGCGAGATCAACGGTAGAAAGCAGGATTCTGATGAATGGAACTTTGTTTCCAGTCTTGAGAGAAATCTTTAAAGAATCCAACAGATTCTGTACGTTAAACGGTTGTTTACAACTTTTAACACTTGCTTCATGGTTGTTGTTATTAGGTTGCAGGGGTGAGACAAAACTGAGTGAGTTTGGGGGTGACATCAGGGACCGTGAGCTGCTGACGAGAGCCTGTAGAGGAGCAACAGTCATCTTCCACACTGCGTCTCTCATAGACGTCATCGGAGCTATAGACTACAGCGAACTGCATGGGGTCAATGTCAAAGGTAAGAGGTCATCAAACTGTAACATGCTTTGTCTGACCTGTAATTGTTTAGAAATTCATCATGAAAATAAAGCTACTGAATTATATTCAGTCAATAATCTAAGAACTTAACTCTTAACCACATAACTTATATAGTATTTACTGAATAATTTATTATGCTTACTGATTAATAAAAGAATAATAAGCGTGCAGTTTAAATGAACATACCAGCATTTTTCAGCTCAATCTCAATCTGCTGTATCTGTAGTATATTAATGATTATCACAAACAATAAGTTCTCTGGACTTTGAAATCAATGGGCAGGTGCTGAAATCTTCACATTAATTGCTATTATAAGTGTGTTTTAAGTGGATCGGTTTTCTGTTCTTTTACCAAGTGCAATTACATGCATCAAAATGACTGTCCATGGTGAACTACTGCACACTACAGATGCAACAGATATTAGGTTACAAAATACTACAACATTCCTTTAAGGATAAACTTCTAAGAAAATAACTTCAGTAGATCAAGAAACTTGTTAACAGATGACATTTATCTGATACTAACAATAACATTAGTCACATGTAGCCAAAGTTTGTGTAATACTGGGCCACAAAAGGACCTCATTTAAAGCTACACTTAAGATGTAGGGATTTTAAGACCTCTCTGGTTGAAATGTGTAACTGCAAGCAATGTGCAGAAGAACGTTCTGTAATGTTGGTTGTGGGTTCCAAACCCTTTCCCTAAGCAGATGATTGTGAGCGTGTTGAAAAAGCATTCAAAGAGAAATAAAAACTTGGTGAAGGACGTGTGTTCTGAGGATGTAAGTGAATTATCGGCAAGTCTTCATTAGTATAATGTTAATTTTGCTTTTGAGGCCTAAACATTGATCCAGACCTTCTTTATGAGCCTGTGCATATGATGTTAATATGTAAAGATATCTGATGTGGCCCGAAAAACATAAAACAGAGGGCTCTTTAAGGGTTCTTTAGTAAAGAAAAGGATTCTATATAGAACCATGAACACTCAAAGAACCTTTTGCATGGTTAAAAGGGTCTTTGTATCATGAAAGGGTCTTCAGATTGACAGACAATGTGCATGAATGTGCTATAGAACCTTGAAAATGGTTCTATATAGCACCCAAAAGGGTTTTTCTACTGTTATAACCTTGACATCGCAGCAATAGAAGAACCCTTTTTGGTGCTATGTAGAACCCTTTTCAAAAAAGGTTCTATTTAGAACCGTCTACAGCACGTTCTCGGCCAATCTAAGAAACCGTTCATGATGCAAAGAACCCTTTAATCATGCAAAGGGTTCTTTGAGTGTTCATGGTTATATGTAGAATCATTTTCTTTACTAAAGAATCTTTAAGGTACCATCTTTTTTAAGAGTGTACTTCTTTCAGTTTTAACAAAACTGTAGCTTTAACTGATGTGTATCATTGCTATTCAAAGAAAAACAAGCATCTCCAACATACAGCTTTACAGGAGATGTAATTTTGGAGATTTCTTTTGGTCCAGTCATCATGTAATGATCAGCTGTTGTGTGTTAATAATGAAGAAAAACCAAAAAAATGCAAAAAACTGAGATACTTTGGGGTTTTTTTTTGGACGGCGACTATGCAACATGGCTTGGAGAGACTGAATGCTACAAAACATGTGATTTCTCTTTTTTGCCAGGCACCCAGCTGCTCCTAGAGACATGTATCCAAGAGAATGTGCCTTCATTCATATACACCAGCAGCATTGAGGTTGCTGGTCCAAATCCTCGTGGAGAACCTATCATCAATGGTAACGAGGACACAGCGTACACTTTGTGCTTGAAGTTTCCCTACAGCCAAACTAAAAAGGAAGCTGAACAGCTTTGCCTCAGTGCCCAGGGAGAGGTGCTTAAAAACGGTGCTCGACTTGCTACATGTGTTCTGAGGCCAATGTACATTTATGGCGAAGGCTGCCGTTTTACTTTAGGCCATATGCGGGATGGCATCCGGAACAGTGATGTGTTACTGCGGACTTCCCGTCGTGAGGCTAAAGTGAATCCTGTGTATGTGGGAAATGTTGCTCTGGCACATCTGCAGGCCGCTCGAGCTCTGAAAAATCCGCAAAAGAGAGCTGTGGTTGGTGGAAACTTTTACTACATCTCGGACAACACGCCACCTGTCAGCTACTCCGACTTCAACCATGCCGTTCTGTCTCCTTTAGGCTTTGGCATACAGGACAAACCCACCCTACCTTTCCCTGTTCTCTACCTCATCTCCTTCCTCATGGAAATGCTCCAAGCAGTGCTCCGCCCCTTCCTGCGCTTTACCCCGCCCCTCAATCGACAGCTTCTGATCATGCTGAACACGCCCTTCAGCTTCTCGTATCAAAAGGCCCACAGAGATCTGGGATACACGCCTCGTTATGAGTGGGCAGAAGCACGCCAGCGAACTACTGACTGGCTGGCATCTGTCTTAGCCAGAGAAAGGGAACAAATTAATGTGAAGTGAAAGCCTACAGCACTGTGTTTTATGTTCTACTGACAGACTTCAACAAAATTTGGCTGCTTTTATAGTTGCATACATTGTACATTGTTTCAGTTCTCATTTTAACATGTCCTCGTCAACTGTGCTTGCCAGGGGAATCTCTGACGCACCCTAAGAGCAGTTCCATAGCTTTAGCATCAGAAGTGGCCAGAAATCACTGCAATCTGACGTATTTCTCTTTTCGACCCCTCAAAAATGGCATGTTTATAAGCAATAGCAATAAAATAATTGAAAATGGTTAAATATCTCAACAGCTTCAACATTCTGTAGCTTGCTGGGTAGCAAGCTAAAGTGTGGACAGGCAGAAACGCAGAAAGAAACACAATACACCATGGTTTTAAACCGAAGCTTATAGCGTGGCAAAGCAATTACTCACTAAATGTATGCATGTTATGTTCGGACTTCTCCAAAAAAATGTTTTGCATTACAAAGTTTGCATGGTTAGCTAATTAGCTCACTGAGGTTAACCTTGCAGAGGGTGTGCACGTAGCCTTGTGCTGGCCACTTGTAGATACGCTATACTTAGAGTGTTAAGTTGAGGTTGACGAGTGCAGGTTAAAAAAAAATATTGTCTGTAAAAAGTCAAGGGCCTGTAAAGGGAAAGATGAGAGAATTGTAAGAAGTGGAGCAACACCAGGGTTTTAGATGTTTGTCCAACTGTCTCCTTCCCTTACTATGTCAGTTACAAACATCTATAAATGCCAATGATTACAAAAACACACATTTTTAGCCCGTTGTGTTAAGACCATTGATTCTTATGTTATTTTACTTCTCTTAAACAAAGTTGCTTAAAGCAATGCACTGCATGAATTAATGATTACTGAGCCTGTTACATGGTACACCTCATGTTTACTGGCTTTTTCTTTTTAAAATGAGGTAAAACTAAAAAAAAAATACTAACATTAATATTGACTGTTAATGAGCATCATGAGTTAACGAGCATGTCAATAAAAATAAAAAGTTATTCTCAAAATTGTGTCTTTTTTGTAATTCTGACTTGAGTACATCAGCCCTTAGTACTTAGGTATGCCTCCAATGCAATGGAGATTAAACAGGTATGTACTTTATCTGTGGGTCAAGAGGTCAATCAATTGTCAACACTAAAACACCAACCCCCAACAGAAGTAATTCTCAGAGGCACAGAGTAAATACTGCCAAGGGCCAGAGTCCAGCGGCTGGATACAAACAAACATTTAAGCCCAGTGAGGTCATGGATTCACAGCCAGCTGCAGCACAATGAACACAGATCATTTGTTTCACATTGCTTGAGTTAGAGCCTTCGTGACCAGCTGCAAGTTTGTCTTCTCAGAAGCACCCAATGGATGCAGGGGTTTAATACCACACAAGTAATGCTGTAGGTTATAAAAGCACAGCAGGACTGAAGATGAGAGCTTGCCAAAAGCTCCCTCATCTCATTTAATCGGATATTGTAACACTTTTTTCAGTGCCAAGCACTGTGAGGCAGCTTGTTACTTGCTGTAAATTCCACTAATAAGAGGATTCCAGAGCTGCCTTGTAGCGCTGGTTCAAAGAAAAGGACAGAATGAGGTTTGGCCAAATGTAGAAGGAGGGACTAGAGTTTGGCAGAATGTAGAAAGTGGAAAGTTTATTCACACGTACAACAGAAAAGAATCGAATAGCTGTATTTTAACTTGTCTGAAAGGCATACCTTTACTCTGTGGAGAAATGACCTGGAGATGGATTAAACTCTGCACACTTCTTTCACTCTGTACCACTTCAGTGACTGGTAAGTGCACTTATATTCCATAGACTACAAACAAATGAAGCCTAAACTGCTGAAAATCAGCTGATACTAACTTTAAAAACTATGCCAAATGTGGCTAATTACTGTTAGTTTAATGTCAGTTTCACACTTCTCAAAATACTATATAATGCTAATTTAAAAAACAGATATTCTGGCGATATACATAGTGTGATAATCAGAACCTTCTTTACATCATTATCAACTGTTTACCAGAACAAAAGAGCACAACTTAAGCACAACTTAAGTCCCCTACCTATGAGTTCATGTGATGAGTTGATTGGCCTTCATCAAGAGAACTACCATGTGTGATATGATAATGATAAAGTTAAACTGGTCAACTTTATTCAGTTTCAGGGACAATGCACATTAATGAACATTGCTGTAAATAAGCCAGTTCTGCTAACTTGGCTAACCCTCAACTTTCTTCTTTCAAAGCTTATGAATGTGATGCAATAGGGTGACTTTTTCCAAAATGGGAAATATCACAGTGAATCTTGTCTGTTGATAACTGAAACTCCTACAAGTATTTTTTGTGTTGAAAGTTTAGATATGCAAATGGGATGTCATCTACTAAAAAAAAAATGTCTTGAATTTAATTGTTTATATTTCATTATTAAGAAACATTTGAGAAAGTATTCTACAGAACAGATTATTGAAATCTGATTCTTATTGTTTAATTAAGAAAATACCATCCACTTTATTTAAAAACTTTTTTTCCAGGTCATTTTGTAGTATAATATCTAGCATAAATCCAGCTATGAGCAATAGATTACACTATAAAAAGTGTCTCATCAGATCTACTTAAAAATTACTTCATGTGGTAACAAGTAAATTAACTAGTTTTATTCACCCTAAATAAATACTTTGAATGAACGATTCTTTCAGTGTAGTTTTTTTTTTTTTAAGTTGAATAAAACTACTTCAATTGCTTGTTTCCACATAAAGTAATCTTTTAAGTAGATCTGACGAGGAACTTTTTAAAGTGGAAATCCTTTGTAATATTCTTCTAAATATGGTTAGAAATGTATATATACATTTTCATGAATGCAGGTATTCTACAAACCAACATTTTTGGATTCTGAATGCAGATAAGTGTGACAGAGCTTACAGTAAGACATGGTCTGACCAAACACACTGAAATAATCATTTCTTTTTCTATTTCTATTTCTGTTGAGCTATTACAGATTAAGAAAAGACATGTTATAGATGGAAAAAAAATTATATATGCAAAAAAAAATATTGACTGAACTAAAACCGTCATTTCTGTCTGCGCTGTCTTGCCTTAAGGATTTTTTTTTAAATTTCAGCATACTGAATGGTGCAATGATATGTACAAAGTGAGACAGTTTTTGTCAGTTTTAGGACTAAATGTTTCAGTTTCTGCCCGTTCTTTCAGATAATATTCCTCATGAAAGTGTTTACTTTATGCACTATATGTCTGAAAGTTTGTAGACACCTGGTCTCATCCAACATGTCTTCTGAAATCAAAGATATTAATATGGAGTTTTGCAGTAACAGTATGCTCTTCTAGGAAGGCTTTACACTAGATGTTGGAACATTGCTGTGAGGATTTAATTGTATTTGGCCATTACAGCATTAGTGAGGTCAGCTACTGATGTTGGATGATAATAATAATAATAATAATAATAATAATAATAATAATAATAATATAATTTTTCATAGAGCACTTTTCATATCAGCGGTAGCTCAAAGTACTTTACAGACTGATGAAGCTCAGCAGTAGAAGGAACTTTAGAAGTATTAATTTAAAATTGTATAAGGCAATGTCACAGATCAAATCAAAAACACTGGACCTCATTCACCAACAGTTCTTAAGATGAAATTTCTTCTTAAAACCCACTTACTCAGTTTTCACAAAGATTCTGACCTTCGTTAATGTTTTCTTATTCAGGATTTGTTCTTAGGTAAGAACAGAATCAACACACACTCAAAAGCACGAAGGTGTGAACAATTCTGCAGTTTAAGAACACATAATGAATCTGATGTAAACTTTTTCTTAGGACATTTTCTCAATACCAAATTTAAGAAAAACTTGAAGAAAATATTGGTGAATGAGGCCCAATGATACCCAAAGAGGCATAGAATTTTGATAAAACACAAAGTTAAAGAGATATTTTCAAATGTTTCTTAACAGTGTGCTCTGAGCTCTGTCTAATAAAAGGTGGAACTAAGTTCCACAGTTTAGAAGCATAATAACAGAAAGAGGCCTGTCCACATTTCCTTGATTATACAGAAAGTGTTTGCAAAAGGTCAGGATCTGCAGATCTGAGATCACATGTTGGTACATAGACTGACATTCTGTGATGTAAGTGGGTGCTAGGTCATTTAGAACCTTAAAAACAAGAACTTAAAAATCTATCCTAAAAGATACTGGTAGCTAGTGCAGTTCTCTTAAACGGGGTAATTTGAGGTCTCCCTTCTGTTTTTTATTAGGATCTCTGATGCTGCATTTTGTACAAGTTGTAGAGTATAGATTGCTTTTCTTATGAATCCCAGTAAAAAAGATTTACAGAAATTACAGATGATTACTTCTGCAATGTAAGTGTCAAGATTTTTGAAGGTGCCCCATTATTCCAGAGAAATCGGTTCGACTGCTCCATAGCACAATTTTTTTACATCCCTCTATCTGCTGACCCCCCTCTTCTAACTCCCCTTTGTGTGCATGCCCATCATATGGCCATAAGGATGCTACAGATTATGTTCATGCTTCATGCTTTCTAAATAACTATTCATCTTTAATTTTCAAACTGAGGACATACTGTATGTTTTATAGATACAACAGAAATCAAATGTAATCTAGCATCCACATGTTTTGTGTGATGAGTGTGCATGTGACAGCCCTGTGGATGCTGGTATGCTAGTCAGCAGCAATGGAAGCTGTGAGGCTGATCACCACCATAACTAGCATATGTTGTGTTTTGGACACTGGTATGTTGTTTTTTTTTAGCAGAGAGGAAGTAGCTGCTCCTGGTGTTCAGCTACACAGTGACGTTTCGTTCATTTTTATAGCTCACAGTAAGTCATGTGTCCTAAACCACACAGACAAGTATGCATGTCCTTGATGAAGACCTAGATGATGTTTGTGTGGGTTGACAGAAGTTTCAGGGATGTATTTACAGAAAGAATTTGGGTGACTATTGACATCTAGTGTTTGTTAGCAACATTAGCCTCATTGCTACAGCGCAAAATTGTGTAAACTCACTCATCTTGTATATCATTAAACCTCTACTGAGTGCACTATTCCCCTTTCTCACCTGATATGTCGTGTATATGCTCACAGTGAGTGATGAAGTACCCACAGCAAAGTGTGCTGATTTTAACAACACCACCTGGCGAGAATACAAGCAAAGAACCAAGGTGCGGGTCCAGTACCTGCTTCTAACCCGAAAGAATGCAGACTGCGCGAGCCTCTTCACCCAGGACTGTCTCAACCACACTCAGCAACATACCGCATACTTCAACTCCACACTTCCCACTAAAGTCATTGTTCATGGGTACAGGTAAGACACATGACCACATAATCTGCACTCTGGTAATGCTTACAATTACAATTAATGCAATGTTAACTCTGACTCTTCCTTACAAATAATTCACTCTTTGTTCCAATAAATTTACTGCCATCTCTTTTAGGGCTATAGGCACTAAGCCATCATGGGTGAGTGGATTAGCCCAAGCTTTGTTACAGAAGGAGGATGTGAATGTCTTGGTTGTAGACTGGGTCCTTCGGGCGTCCTTTGCCTACAACCTAGTGGTGGAGAACTACAAGGAAGTGGCCTTGCAGATATCAATTCTTATTAATCAGCTGACAGTAAGAGTGCTATAAGATATATTGTATCTTTCTATACTGTCAATATAGTGGACATTTTTCATCACTGAGTCACCATAGAGATTTAATAGTGCCATTTTGTCCATGCAGACCTATGGTAGTACTCTGGAATCATTCCATTTAATTGGGGTGAGCCTAGGAGCTCATGTGGCAGGATTTGTGGGGACTCTATTTAAAGGCAAATTGGGACGAATTACAGGTAAGGAACAAATGTATGCACCACTTAGTAAAGCCAAATTAAAGACTATATGCCAAGTGACTTTCTGAAGTGTATATAATAAGTGAAAATAAACATGATATACCTTATCACTGAGATTGTGTACAAGATTGGCATCTCTGAAGAAGCTTTACAGGGTCTTATCTGTCCAGGATCCAGATAGATGGTCACAATGAATCAGACTGTTTACAAAAACCCTAGACACACAGTGCCTCAGTGCAACTGTTTGAATGGGGCTTTCAGATGGAGTGAGAAAGAGCACTCCAAAAACACAACACTGCATTGACACAACTACCCGGATTTCAAAAGCAGATGTTTGTGTTAGGAGGACAGGCTAATTAAGGACAGCACAACACAGTCTGCTAATGTATTATCCCTGTTGCTTGAGAAAAGCAGAGGACCTAGAGGAAAGTTTTATTGCTCACATGTTAATCCTTGATGAGAAAATTATAATAGTTACTCTTTTAGTCCTAGATGAGTCCTTTAGAGAAGGCTGTTAGGATGAGACAAGGTTGAGTTCATATTAAGATTTTTGTCTTAAGTTCAGTTACAGATAAACATGGGCAGAATTGTAGGATCAGTAAAGTACACAACATATGACAAATGACGCCTACTATATTATAAATTTATAATCCTTGACCTTCTAGCAAGCATCAGGTTTTCTAGATTAGTTAAAACTCAATAAAACATTAGGCTTTCATTGTGAGTGGTTACACTATGATACTTTCACTTATTCATTAATGTGCTTAGGCTTGAGCCCTCTTTCACAATGTATTTCCACAGGTCTGGACCCAGCAGGCCCCATGTTCAAGAACGCTGATCCGTTCAATCGTCTGGATCCCTCAGACGCCATGTTTGTTGAGGCCATACACACTGACTCTGACTGTGAGAAAGAAACAAGACTTTACCTTCCATGACTTTATACATTCCTGCAGTGAAATGAGGATAAAGACAGATTATACAATGCTGCTTTTCCTGCTTATATAATTTTTTACTGAAAGAAATTTGTAAACCAACCAACCAACCACACAATATGTGTATCCTGCTATTTATTCATTGGTTCTATACTTGTTTTAATAATTTGCCTACATTTGGCAGGTTTTGGCATCTCTATTCCTGTTGGACACGTGGATTTTTTCTTAAATGGTGGCAAGGACCAAACGGGATGTGCACAGTCAAGGTTTGCGTCAAGTATGTAGACAAACTATTGAGAGCAAAGACAGCAGCTTAACTGACTAAGAATGTCCTGTCAGAAGTCTTGGGAATGGGCAAGCTAGTTTCCAGCACTAATGGACTGTCACAGTAGAATTAAAATCACTAAACTGTACATTACTAATAGTCACTTATGAGGAAGGGTTTGATTGGGCCTTTAAAACCTCACAAACCTAACAGGTTATTACTAAATACAGCTTTAAAATGACTAATAATATTAATGAACTCATGCATCTGAAGTTTAGGTGCTAGAGGGGTGTCCAGCTCCAGGCCTAGAGGCCCACAGTCTGGCACATTTGAATGATTTCTCTGCTCAAACACTCCTGATTCAACTCAGCAGTTATTTACTAGGTTTATTTGGTACACTATTTGGACAAAAGTATTGGGACACCTACAGGAGCTTTTATGACTTCCCATTCTAAATCCATAGGCATTAACACAGAGTTGGTTCTCTTTTTGTCCACTCTTCTGGGAAGGATTTCTACAGATTTTGGAGTGTATCTGTGGGAATTTTTGCCCATTCATTCAGAATAGCATTTATGAGGACAGACACTGATGTTGGACGAGAGGGCCTGGCTTGCAATCTCTGTTCTAGTTCATCCCAAAGGTGTAAGGCGGGGTTGAGGTCTCTTTGAGGACCAGTCAAGTTTTTTGTACAACAGACTCACCCAGCCTTGTCTTTATGGACATTGCTTTGTGCACTGGGGCACAGTCATGCTGGAACAGAAAAGGGCCTTCCCCAAACTTTTCGCACAAAGTTGGAAGCATACAGTTGTCCAAAATGTCTTGGTATGCTGAAGCATTAAGATTTCACTTCACTGGAACTAAGGGGCCTAGGCCAACCCCTGAAAAACAAGCCCATAGCATTATCCCTCCTCCACCAAACTTTACAGTTCGCACAATGCAGTCAGGCAGGAAATGCTCACCTGTCATTTGCCAGACCCAGACTGGTCCATCAGACTTCCAGATAGAGAAGCATGATTCATCACAGAATACATTTCCACTGTTCCACAGACCAGTAGTGGGGTGCTTTACACCACTCCCCCCACAACGCTTGGCATTGTGCATTTTAACTATAGGCTTGTGTGTAGCTTTCTACTGCCAGTGTTTGTCTATCAAGAATGCAAGGCTATGTGCTTAATTTTATCCACCTGTTGGCAGTGGGTGCGACTGAAACATCTGAACTCAATAATTAGGAGGCGCGTCCCAATAGTTTTGTTCATATAGTGTATGTGCAGAGAAAAGAACTGTGCCCCAGCCCTCCACCCCTGCTCTATAGGATTAATGCTAAAATACATTAGCACTCGGTTAGCTAAGAATGTCTATGTTTTTGAAATCTTATTTATTTTGCCAAGTATCTGCGTTAAAGGGAATTTAGTCAATATGTTTAAAGGGGAAATGCAGTAGAGGGAACATTAGCAGCAGTGTTTAGCTGAGAATCCCTGTTTGCTGTCAGTTCTTATTTACTTTCCAGTGTATGGCTATGTGATCTGCGACCACATGAGGGCACTGCATGTGTATGTAAGCATGCTGAATGGCCCCTGTACCCTGACTGGATTCCCCTGCTCCAGTTATGAGGACTTTCTAGCAGGCCAGTGCACCAGCTGTGATAAAGCATTCAACGGTGCCTGCCCTCAAATAGGTAAGACAACATTTAGAGCCCATCAATGTCCAGCCATGTGTTTATAATGGACACTCTTCACAGTATATATAAGCATATACATTTAGATATCCTGTTGACCTATTAGGCTGATTTTGGTGTATTATGCTATAAAAATAAATCTATATTATATATTAAAATGCATTCAACTCCAAAGAAAATCCAGAAACACTTTGGGAGTCTGCTATTTTTGTGCTGGTCCCAAGCTAAATAATTGCAATCAGATGCTAATAAACTGAGCTCATCTCAGTTTAGGTTATAGGGACACTTTGGCCAAAATGAACGGTTGTAAATATGCTTACTCGCATTACAGTGGTACCACAGTAGTGGAGTTTTTTTTTTCTGAAGATTTTTTTCTGAAGATGATCCATCTTGAGGGTGGAAGAAAGTTTTTTAAAAGCTACAACTGCTTTGGGGTGCCATTTAATTTTTTTTCTGGCTGCTGAATGCAGAAGAAAACCATATAACTAATAGTACTACTAAGAAGCTGAATATCCTTTTGCTGTCATATAACATTATGAAGAAGAAAATGGATTACTTAAATGACAGAAATTCCCTGTCAGATGAGGTTGAGAACAAACTAGCAAGTGAAAGCTAAAGTAAGCGAGATGCTATACCTCAATTTGTCCTCTTTTCTCAGGCATCCATTTTATACTGAATTAGGATAGAATCAATTTTTTCTTTACGAGGTATGATTTACAGTAGTGCTAGCTTGATCCAGTGAGCAGTAGCTAAAGAGATCAGGATTGGTTGACACCTCAGGGATTCCTAAAGGTTGTATCATGTATTTGCACCATGCATGCTGGGTATTGTAGTGAGAAAACACTAATGAATGAAAACATGAAAAAATGTGAAAAAAAAAAAAAAAATTGTGTCAAACAGATGATGGGAAGGCATATGGCGCTGGACTACAGAATACTACTGACCACAACAAATAACATGTTAAACTCTACTTTTAGGCCAGAATGCCCTTTTAACAGAATTGGCAGTGGCCTATGTGAGCACTGGTGCATCCAGTACATCTAATCTTTTAATGGAGCGTAATAAAAATAATTATAGTTTTAGTTAACAGATGCTGCTACTTGTCTGTTTATGTGTCAGGCTTGCTGAAGAACAGTGGGATAACGGTATCACCTCTCCCCAAACAAGAGAAAGTCTACCTCCTGACTACATCTGAAGCTCCTTTCTGTGGTGGGTTATAGACACATGTAGTCTGATCTCAACATGCTATTTTGTGGCTTACATAAAAAGGATCTTTCAGCTTTTCACCTTTGTCTTCACTCTTAGCTCAACACATCCTGATTGAGCTGAAGGTATCTCCACTGGAGAAGAGTGCTGAGGTGCAGGTCACCCTGATCTCCATGAGCGTTGCTGAGACAGAGCAGAGACTCAGGCTGTGTGTGCCACCGGCCTTCAAACAGCTCTCTTTTATCCAACCACTACCACATATTATTGGCTAATAAACTCATGTTATTGACTAAATTTGTGTTATATACTTATAAATGTTTTCTGTGTACACATTTCAGACAGACAGACAAAACTGTTTATAAAAAAGTAGTGGGACATCCAGAGGCCCTCTGTAAGATTGATGCTATTCAAGTGAAGAATACTGGAGCCCTATTATACAGACAAGGGAACATTCACTTTGAATACATCTGTATCTCTGAGATCCCTAAAATGAGGTAAAGATCAGCCTTTCGATCTCTTCCTGAGCTTTCTTTGCATTCCTTACCTCTGACTTCTATAGTACTGTGCAAAAGACAGAGACCACCATTCATTTATTTCATGTCCAGTCAAAACACACAATAAGTACAAGGACAGAAAAAATAGAACATGTCCTCACTGTCCAAAGAAAAACATCTCCAAAATAATAAAATAGTAACTTTACAGGAGACCACAAAAACTGTCTGAATTGGATGCAAGTTAATGTAAAGAGTCCAAATGCTTATAGAGCTTTTATATTGGTCAATTTATCATGAAATTTTCACACAATGTAAAGGGCAGCTGCTGTGCTAAAATGATGCAGAAAAATAAAAAAATCGGCAGAACTGGAAATACATGTGGTTTTTTGGACAGCGATGATATATAGCGGAAAATTCCATGGAAGCACGACCAAATGTAATATCAAATCTTTTGGTATTTAGTATGTCCACTCTTTGCTTTCTGTTACAGCTTTCATTCATTTCAGGAGACTTGCCTTCAGGCTTTAAAAGAAATGTATTTTTCTGAAGTTCATTTTTAGAAGTTGGTTGCATTTTCTATTTGTCACGATCAGGCCTGCACGAAGAAATGACTAGGCCCTGAAAAATTGTGTTGGCTGGACTCCTCCCGCACCTCTACTCAAAGACCCTCCCTGTAAAGGATGTAAAAACAGCTGCTGTATTCAAATAATTCCAGTTAAAATAATAAATGACAAAAATGTGCTGTTTTTTTGCAAAGTGTTATTATGCATAATGTGACAATGTTTTTTTGAATTACCATTTTATAGTCTAATAACCATTTAAAATGAAATTAGATAATGCCAGTTTAAAGTAAATGTAAATGTGGATTTAAACTGGGATTTCAGAGGTGGGTAGTCCTACTTTTTTTCCATGGGTGTCACCAACATACAAAGACTATAGTTCAATTTATGTTTTATTCTCAGCACTGATATCATAAAAATATGATTGCAACTAATAGCCTACTATGTTTCGGTCTTTGGATTTACTTTGGTGTTTTCAGCATTCATTGTTTGTCCGTTTTGGCCTCAAAACTACGTCAAGTGTCATGCTGAAGACGCTGAAAAAGCCAAATAATTATGACCCATCTGACATCAAGAACTTTTTATTTCCCTTTAACTGTGTACTTGGAGAAGCTGTCCTCAGTTGTTCACTGTTTTAGATACAGCACCAAACAGACTATACAGTTATTCCAGAAAACTTGTGAAATCCTTTGTGTGATAATTTCACAGGTTTTGATGTAATGATGCAAGTAATCTTTAACACATTCAGTTATGTTTAGGCCAGTGCACTGTTCTAAAAGCACCAGCAGCTTCTATGATTTGCAAATTTTCTGCACTATCCTCCATTTCCTTTTCTTAGTAACAGCTTCTTGGCAGCTGAGCTTTCAGACTCATAGTGTTGAGCTGTTTTGTCACATTGGGAGGATGGACAGAAACAATTTTGTATTTTTCAGATCTGAAGCAAGAGTGGATCTTGATTTTCTCCTCTCTCTCAAAGATGAAAGCTTTAGGTACTGTTTCACTGATGGTGTCACTTTTGGTGGTCTACTAGGTTTTGCACAGTTGTTTTTTCTATATCTTTTAATCATTTTTTAATTATAGTTTTAGAAACTCCTGTGTTGTTTACTTATTTACTCTGACTTTCACTTTCCTCATGCAAGTGAATTATCTTATTTTTAATTGCACCAAAATATTCTCCTGAAAAGTCAATGACTTGTACATAATGGCTGTTTTGACTGGAAGTGAAATAAGTTTAGCAAAAAGGACAAATCATTTATATTTCTTAAGTACACAGAGTGTATGACATTAACTTATTAATATCTTTAAATATACAATGTATGACAGACTCATTGCGGGTGTTATGTCAACATGTATGTACTTGTGTGTGCTTCTGTTCTTTCATGTGCTTACAGGAGGACCGATCCATTGTGTGTGGAGAACATAAACATTGGAAGGGGAGCACCATGGTCACATGACTTTGTCCAGTTGTGCTGAACTTACTAAGGGAGACAGAATCTCCTGCACAGTGGACAGAACCTACAGAAGCAAGGTGTCAGAATGTCCACTTTTATGTACACTCATATAGAAATTCTAGCAAGGGGAAAAGGGTCCACGTATATGTGCACATGATCATATAATTGTATTCGCTTCATGCTTCAGCAAAAAAACAAATGAACAAACATGCACAATAGGCAGCAGTTCTATAACTTGGAAGAAAACTGACGCACAAACAACACACAATGGAAGTGCTACACTTCAAGCCGTGTAATGTCAAGAGCATTTATTAAAGTGTTCTATTAACATCTCATATTTTACATGTATAATGTGTGAAATACCATGTACAAATGCATTAGTTGTCAATATCGCTTGTCTGCAATTAAATATCACAGAGTAGTACTTAGGACATTTACCACTGGTAAATTACTGGAGCTCAGTTTTGTTGGTTTCTTCTGTTTAATCTCAAATATTGCAACATGGTTAACATGAACACTAACTGTTAATGTGTCAGTAGCTGTTTCTTACATATTGGATTATTCTAACGAGATACCATATACAGTGGCTATATTTAAACCTATATATTGTGCCTACAGAACATTCTGTAATTAAAAAGTATAAAACTGTGCCAAATTATTGACACGTCTGGTGAAGATGAGCAAAAAATGCTATGAAAAGACCATTTTTATTGTTTAACAGTTTAGCAGCTGGATCACACACTTTATCAATTTTATAAGGAAAAAATACCCAAGACAAGTATTAAATATTTGGTTGATGATGTTGTATATCCTTAACAATATTCCCTGGGACCCTGAGCTCCACAGCATCATGCATCCACCACCATACTTCATTTGGGATCAGATTCTTTTCTACCTTGACTCTTTATATGTCAAAGCTTACTTCATATATTTGTTGCAAAAATGCATTTTTTCTCATCTATGGCCATAGAACCCAGATCCAGTTTCGAGTTCGGCAAATTCCAAACTCCCCATGCTTACACCTGTGGTTTGACAACAATAGTTTGTTGGTATACATTTTTATGGTTAAAAGAAATAATTATGCTTTTGAGAAAGACTCATAGATCTGTTTTATTTTAATATTTTCTTTTTTACTGAAAAGTTAGATTTCTCTGATGTTCCCAGTACAAGATTAAGCTGCTAAAACACAAAGATATATTTATTTATAAACATATTTTCCATAGCCTTTCTTGGTAGTCTTTTTTAAGGGTGTCCATAATTCTTGGCAAGGGGCAATGTAAGGCCTTATCTACTGCAGGCAATGAAACTGCAGACTGTGATGTGTATTTATTAAAGAAAATTGGCCCCAAGAAAATACAGTGATTTAATGTGGTAAAATAAAGACAGTGTAAGTCAGTGTATGCTGTTGTAGTGTTTGCTTTCCGCTCATGATTTATCATATGTTGTAAATAAAATGCAAAAGCACACAGTGTGATGTGAGGAAAGGAAGAAGCACAGTGACTTCTAAGCATGTGTAATGTGAAGTGAAACATCACAAGTGAAATAAAGCTACAGTGTCTACAGACCTAACAACAATGAGCAAAAATAGTTGACAATAACAAAAAATACTGTAATGGTAGCATATGGAATTGGCTGTAACAAAACTTTTTGGCTTTGTTGAGCTCGACCAGGAGAAGGGATTATTTATGCTTTACTAGTATCCTCAAATAGTTAAATCCTTTTAAAACCTTCCTGCACTGTCCATTCAATGTGCTTGTACTTGTCCCCATTTAAACATAACCTATGACAACAGAGGAAATGAGGCACTGGTAGTGGATTAAGTGAGGCTTTAGTTCTGCTGCAGACCATGGTATGCTTTGTTTATGGATTAGACTATTTTTAGAGCCTCGGGGTGTCCGTGGGAGCCAGTGGAGCCCGTCCTCTTTGGAATCGATGTGGAAACCTTCCAGGAGTATCACCTTCTGTTAGATTTATGAAGAAAATCAAAAAGGTAAGTGGACATTTACAGTCTTAAATAGATTAAATAGATGCCTATTCATTATATGAGCAATACTGTGGCATATAATAAGATTGTCTCATCGCTTTAATTCAAGTTACCGCCTGATATAACTACCCCTTTCTACTCTATGGTGCATGCTATGACTCCACCCAAACCCATATCTCTCATTCCTCCACAGACCTTGTCAAGGTCAGCATTTCAATGACAGTGGAGCCCTCCTACTCCCTGCAGCTGTCCTGCTATCCAACACCACCCTTTCCTCCCCTTCATGAAATGCAATTCCAGCCGCAGTTGGTGCAGGCATGCCTTTGGAAAGAAGGCAGTGCCGAGTTAATGGAGCTTTGGATCTTTGGGTACGGAGGGTATGCCTTGACTTTCCAGCCTTTAAACAAGTCTCACACACACACAAATGTGTACCTTGGGAGAATGACAAAACTTTTTGCACTCTGCAAATGTAACTAACACAAGAAACAATCCTAATCAAGAAATATCTGAAACCTAACTGCATTTATGTCGAAATAATGGTCTATTGTGCTAATTAGTCATATCTGAGGTAACAGTAATCCTCTGATCCCTCTCCCTCAAATAAACAGTGATAGACCAGGATAAGTTCAGTTCTTTAAATGATCACATATCATTAGATATGTGCAAAGACCGTGACATTAGACTAATACAGAAAAAAACTAATGTGACATTCGACATTGTTCCAAAGCAAATTCCATTTCCACATTTGCCCATTCTCTCAGTTAGTCAAGTGCTCAATGCCAAATTAGTGCAAATGTGCCACTTCAAGCAAAACACACACCTCTCCCCGCTGTACCATTCCCACCCTGCTCAGTTGTGTGTACTTACATGTAACTTAAGAAGTGGCCCAGTGTGTTAGCTTCAGCACCCCATTTTCTACTTCAAATAATCCCTCTCACTCCCATAGTCCACTAGAGAGCCTATCATATCAGCAAAGTCCTCCAGGACTAGGCTGGTTGAGTCCTCACCAGAGGGCATCTCAGTGTCCGAGGGCCAGGGCTGTCGCTGAGATGCCTGAGGTTTGGGCACCGGGTCTTTCTCCTGGCCTTGCTGGGAAGATGGTGCATCTACATGCTGGTTGGCAGGTATTGGCTCCATGGTCCCAGTCATCTGATCCCCATGGCTCCCCCTGGGTGGGGAACTGGCACTGTCCCTCTCACTGCTTGGCGGAGAGGGTGCAAGAACATGGTAGAGGCTCGGCAGGCGGATGTCGAGACGTACACCACTCTTGGCAAAGAGTTTGTCGTTGAGTGAGTACAGCTTGTCTGCAATATCACTACCCAGCATTACCGAGAAGAGACGAGCGATGTAGCGATCCTTAGACAGAAGGAGATAAAGGCGCCGCCGACGCCAGGAGATGTAACGGCAATTTGTCTCTGCAGTCAGGGTCACCTGAGGGGAGATTTGAGGTTTTAAGATATGTCAATATTAAATGCTGGAGATAAATAAAGTTGCCAAACAGGTTCTTTGAAAGTGATTCCATACAAGAAACACTTCTGGGTTGCTAAAAAACATTTCAATTGATGGTTCTTTAAAGAAGCACTGTCATAAATGAGATAAACAAATTTGAAAAAACGCAAAGAACCTCTACATAATCTAAAGGTTCTATACTGCGGTGTCAACTTGGTCCGCGATTCAGTTCAATTCATGATACTAAGTTTATGATTCTGTATACTTATGACAGTTTGAACAAAATTCGAATGACATAAAATGCATACTAGTGCTGGGAGGCAAGTGGAGCTGCTGACCATTTGCAAACTTCGGCTTCAAAATAATGCAGTTGCTTTAGATCACATCTCCAAATGAATACTGTCGTAGTTTTGAATTGCTATATCACAAAGTCACAATGCATTTTTACACTCACATTCAATATCAATTGAAATTGCTTTCCTAAAACCATTTGTTCAAGCCAAGAACCATTTAGGAACCCTTATTTTTATAAGTAAAAAGTGGATATGGAAAACATTTTGATTATACTACACATTAAAGTAGTAAGGCAAAGCTTAGGGAAGGTCTAAAGGGCTTAGGGAAAACATCTATTCTGGCACCTGGAAATTCCCCTCCTCTGTTGGTCTGAGGGATTCCCACTCTGGAGAATCAAGGAACTGGTGAGGGAAGATGTAATGAAGGAACTGCCCTTCTAAAGACACTCGAATCCTACAAATGAGAGAAAGAGAACAGGGTTTGATTTGTAGCTGAAAAGCTTGTGGCTGCGATTGTGATTCTAATTAAGCAAATGAATAAAGCAAGTGAGTAAATAAACACACACACCCACACACACACACACACACACAAATCTTCTAAACCATTTATCCTTCTGCATTATGTTATATGTTTTGTTTATGTTTGCATAAATTCTTCCAAGTTTTGTGAGTTATGTGAGAATAAGACAGCTCTGAAACCAATAATTAGATGATATATATCATCAAAATCAGTCATTTCAGCTATTGAACATCTGACTTTGAGATGTGTAACAGCTGAATATGTCCTGTCTTGGGTAAATGCCTAACTAAAACATAGCATTTGTTAAAAACAAGACAAAGTTTGTGTAATATACAGTTTGGGTATATCTAGTAGTAAAATAATATAAGTAAATAGGTAAGTAAGTAAGTAAGTAAATAAATAAATATTTTAAAAAATCAATGGTGGTGGTAGGTTTTAACAAATGGAGGCAAGGATTGGGGTACATCCAAGCTGTGTAAATCTCAAATATGAATGGAATTGAATTATATAGTAGACTATAGTAGGTCATATTACATAACAACAATATTTTTTGTCTTCTCTTTTTTAACAAATTGAGCCCTGTCTATGTCACACAGTAAAACAATCTTACTGACCTTCCAGAGAGCAGAAAGGAGAGCTGGTCAATAGGTGTTTTTCCCTCTACAGCGTAGGTCTCTTCAGCCTCCAGAGAGAGCACTTTGTTCTCACAGCCCGCAGTTATCTCTTTGAACACCTGCACAGGCACATCCAGTGGCAGATAGACTGCAGAGTAGAGGGCAGAAAGCTCCTCGCTGGCCAAACCATCCTGCATCAGCCGAAATATCAGGTGGCACACCTGGACCAGGCACTGCAGCATCAGCACCAGGTTCCAGATGAAGACATCAAGGCCACACACTGACATCCAGCCCCACAGGGCTAGACAGAGGAAAGCAGGAGCCAGGAAACTGAAAATGTAAAGTGCTCCATAAGCTCCACTTCCACCCATGTACCCCAAAAACAGGATAGTGTTACCCAGGTGGTACATGGCACCTTCTGTGCTGTTGGACCATCCTTCACATGGTGGGTGACCATAGATTATGGTATCGAACACGGTTAAGTTGTCGTCACTCATTTTGCGTATGCTGTGCTCTCAGAACATCCAGTCACGAGAGCTTCACTCAGTATGACTCCAAAACAGGTCTTCAGATGACTGCTCTTGTTTGCTGCATCCTGGAAAAACCCCTTTAAGTAAAGCCAAGGCGTTTGCAAAGAATGCAAAATCAAATACAGGTCAAAGGATTGTTTCCTTATGCCTTCTTGTTCACAGAGAAGGAACTTTTTGCTCCTTATTCCCTTTATCCACAATCAAAAACACAACTGGAATGTAGCTGCTTTCATTCTCTGAGCTTCTCCATCTTTCTTGCACCCTCTCCACCTTTATAATTTTCACTATATCTCCTACTATGTCCTCCTTCTGTCTCTCTGCCGTGTCTCTTCTACAGTGGACTGAGCACTGCTGGCAACACAGGGCAAGAGAGCTGGGGGGAGAGGGGGGTGAGACACCTCTAGTAGGATAACCATGTTTGGAATTGAAACCCAAGGAGGAAAGAGCCAGAGACAGAAAGCAGAGCAGCTACTTAACATAACACACCAGAGCAGGGAGAGAGACGAGGGACGATAACAAGTGACAGCAGGAAAAGTTTCCAAGAGTGCCACACAAATTTTTCAAAGTTGCAGCAGGTTTCACCAGATTTGAGTCTTTCACTCACAAAAAGGTTTTCTTCTCGGCACATTTGGGCAGTGTAAGGGCAGAATCTTGGCATGGAGACTGTGATATGGGTAGTTTTACAGAGGTCATGTTACACTGTTTACTGCCCTCTCTCTGACACTCCCTTCTCATATCTTGGCCCAACAGCTACTATCAGAGGGCTGCACCATTTTACTCCTCAGCAGGGGTTTAGTAGCTTGCTATGATGTTCAGATAATCAAACCTCTGCTGTCTTAGTTGTAGTGTGGGAAACATGCAATACAAGCCATGTCCACACAGTGTGGTGTTTTATAATGTGGAATGTGTAACTGTGTGAAAACAAGGTGATTTCAAATTATTTTAGATAGTATTACATCAATGTAACATCTATTGCTCCTATTTTTAATGTGTGATTAAAGAATATTCCAGTGTTTTTCAACTTAATTGCTATCTGCCACATTTGTGGTATACAACTGATGACCACAAACAATAATTTCCTTTAGAACAGAAAAGAAAATTGACTTAAAACAGGCATCTGTTCATCAGCTTCTACTGTACGTGTGCTCTTAAGCAGGTTTTCTGTTCTTTTTCTAAGTACAAAGAAACATCAACAAGTGTTCCAGGCGTGGCAGACAAACATTAAAAATTACTTACATATTCCATTAATGAGAGTTTATAGTTATTGTTCTGAAATATGAAACCCATACTAGTTTATATAACATGCAGGGTTTAAATAGCAGCTGCCAGCTGGCCATATTTTATCTACCAAAAGAGTATTCATGAACATCCTTAAGAAACACAAATATATGTATGTTTTATGTAACTTGTGAATGCAGACACTTTTGCATATGACTCACTCATAAATTCATCATACTTCACAAGAAAAACAAAATCCAGTACACTTTTTACAAAGAAAGTATATACAACAGGATGTTCTCACTTGAACTGCTTTTCTCCTCACCTACAAGCAATAATCTAGTCACTTTCACTTTGACCATGCAAACACATCTCAGCTCTTCCTGAACATTCTGGAGTATTACTACTTCTGTCAAAACAGTTGTCTGCATACAAGTCCCTCCTGTGGAAGAGTCAAACAGCAAAGGTTACACTTCAGAGCAGTTGAGTGCCTCATCCATACAAGGCACTGCGCCAGAGAGAATGCTAGGGCACACGAGTTTTACACTGCAGTTGAATATGGCACATTAATGTGCCAATGTTTTTGTATAGCTGTGAAAAAAGAATTTTTTTGCATGAACAGAAAGCCCTTTAAGTTGTGCCTATAGGGCTTTTACATTGTAGTTGTCTGTTTCTTACACTGAATCGTGACAAACTAAGCCCTTTTGATTTCTCAAAACATTTTCATGTTTATTTTTTTCTACAGATAATGTATATTGAATTAAGTTCATTTATGAAGTCCACCTAGGGAGTATAAAACTCTTACAGTTCTTTATTGCAGTGGTATACTTCAAAATGAAACAGTGGTGGTGCTTTGTCCCCTCAGAGGTGATTTTCATACTGTACAAAGGAAAGCTGTCCTGTGATCTGATTTTTCCCTTATTCATTATGATCCTAATCACAAAAGCAGATCATATTCCAGCACACGTACAATGAAACACATCCAGCCCAGGTCACTGTACAATGCAGCACAACTGTTGTGAGGAGAATTCAGATAAGCTGAGAGCAGGCCTGGGTGCAGCAACTCTATTTTGGGCATGTGTGCACTGTTAAGAGGAACAGCTGCCAGCAGCCAAACTCTGTGGAAAAGTATCGAAAAAAATCTGCAAACTAGACACTTTCACACTTTCACTGTGTATTTTGCTGTGATACAGGCAGTTTTTTTTTTATTTGTCTCACCTTAAACACTCAATCATTTCTAAGGCAATCTAACACACTAATACTTTCAGCCAGGCCTGAAGTTTTCACAAGTTTGTGAACATTTTACAGAAAAGAAAGTTCTTGCACGATGCGGATACTACCTAGAGCAAATTTATCAGCCTTGTCTTAACCTAAGCACCAAGAACATAAATTAAGTGCTGAAGACTCTCCTTGATATTTAGGTTTAAAACTCACGACCGTGGGCAAAAGTTTATGTTAAAAAAATTCACCCAGGGGTGGAAAATACATCCGTGATTGTACCTAGTTACTAAAGTATTACTTTGAAAGATTTTACTGTACTCAAGGATTATTGAAATTGAATATTACTTGTACTTTTATTTAATTACTCAGTTACTTCTTACATTTTCATTTAGACCTTCCAAGTCCTCATTGCAAATCTCAAAGAGTGTAGGATTTCTTTTCCGAGTCAAGTTACCATGCATTTGAACATTTTCCCACAACTATGCTAACTTATCTTTGTGCAAGGACATGCCGTGCAGTAGTCACTCAACACATTTATTCCCAGCACCGTAGAGCAAAATGGAATATCATGTATGCATGTAAAGTTGGTCTAGTGTTTAAATGTGATTGTTACATTATAGACATTTAAGAGACTGTCAAAAGTGTTAAGACAAGGCAGACAAGTTAGAAGAGTGATCAGCTCATGCCAAGCATTGCATTTTAAGTTAATTTAACATGAAAATAAAGCATCATTCTTAATTATCTCTTGAAACATTTGCTGTTTTACTTTACCATACTGGTGTTTGTTTAAATGATACTTTTTGACTTTTTAGCTCCATTCGTAGGATACCATTCTACACAGTTGCATAGGATCTTTATTCAGTGTCATTTACAGCAATATCCAAACAAAAGGCAGAATAAGAAATTACATTTTCCAGAAACAATCTTCCCTCTGTAGAATAAATAAAAGTACTCCAGATCCCCATCCACAGCCAGCCCCGTCCTGCAAAAGCCAAGATATTTATTAACCAAAGACCAGCAGCTGTCAGAACAGAATGCAGGCAAACTGGACAAAATTAACAGTAGCCTGAACAGGTGGCAGCAAATAAGCTGGCATTGCACTTAACTGCAAAGAATACTGTGGTAAGCAGACAATAAAGGCCAAAATCTAAAGACATTAAAGCCCAACTAGTACTGAGTAGCAATTTACTTCTAAGCCTTCACACTTAAATATTGTTCAAGTGTTCTTCAAGAGTAGTAAAGAAAGTAAAGAAAATGGTTCTATATAGAACCATGAACATTCCAAGAACCCTTTGCATGATTAAAGGATTCTTTGCAGGGTGAAAGAGTTCTTCAGACTGATGAGAAATGTCCTGTAGGTTCTATATAGAACCTTTACGAAAAAGTTCAAGAACCCTTGGAGAACCATCATTTTTAAGTGTGTATGCATAAGCTTTGCATCTGTACTACAAACTACAGAAGCATATGAGTTATAGTAATAGACAACTGAAGTCTTGCATCATTTTGTAGTCTGTGTTATGCCCATATTTGGAACTCCGGGTCTAAGCTTGATTTCTCTATGGCCAAAATGAATGGGGTTTTTTTTCGAAAAATTGCATGGATTGCACCCTGTGGTAAATAAAAATGTTTAGAACCCAGTAAGTTTTTCCTATGTACATTTTTCTCCCACGTATCACTGAACCCACTGAATTATGAAGCCATTAAAGAGTAAGGCAAGTGTTCTGACTACTTTGTCAAAATGTTCTATCAAAGCACATATTTACAGGTAGCTTCATACATAAAACATCTAGGTATGATATTTTGCTAACTTAAAACACCTTATAAAATAATGAAAATACTACTGGCATTAAAACTACAAAGGTGAATTTAGAATTTTCCTGTTAATGATGTAGCAGTTATTATAACGCTTCAGGAGCCAGAACAGAAAAACTGCGCCATTTAAAGTGGAACAAGAAAATTTAAGCAAGAAGCTGGCGCTTATCGGAAAATGTTTCCAGCATGAAAAGAATACTTAGCATATTATGATAGCCTAAATCACCTTTTCAGGGGGTAAGTATTAATACAAAGCTGAGTCTGTACTGAATTAAAATTAAAAACTAAATAAAATGTTTAAAACGCTGTGTTACTACACTGTACTAATGACATTTGCATACTCAGGAGGACTGCTCGATGGGTAAGATGAACTGTAAGAAGACTGGCTATAGCGGTCGTATAACTTTGTAGTTTGTCAGCCTTCTTCAAGGGTGACCAGAATGAGCACTAATAGGTGAAAACCACTTTCAGTCTGCTCATGTTGAGCAGTGTATCCTGAGAGCAGGTCAGTGTAGCCTGAGAGCTTGTAGGGCTACCACACCGGCACTAACACACAGTGCTGTTTTGTGCATTTTTTTAAATGAGTCTGCCTATCTAATGACATTGATTCAGCGCACAGTAACATTAGCTTAATTGTAGCAATATTCATATTTCGACTCTTTAACCACCTCATAAGGATCCAGTGATATTCGACAGAAAAATGTTCATAGGGTAAAACATATCAGCTTTGGAACAGTTTTAATTACCACAGGATGCAACTGAGGCAATTGTTCACTAAATTCTATAGATTTTCCCCATAGAGAAATTACTTTCAGACCCAGAGTTTCTTGTATGGGCATAAAACTACAGCTGCCAACTACAGAGTGATGACACGACTACAGTGGTCTACAGGTCCCACATTTATCAACTATGCACATCGCCTAATATAACTGCTTTGTATAGCATTATTTGATCAAATTTAAGGATCACCATGTAAATATCTTTATAACACCGTCAGCATCATATCAGCTTTATCAATATCAGGTTTCTGTGCTTTCCTCTCCTAGTATCAAAACCACAAAACAGCTTCCAGTAATTACTGGCTCCGTTCCAGAGAACAAACCTAGCTCTCACCCAAAAAGAATGATTGAGTCTAAGGTTAGGCTTAATTTGGAAATCTGGAAAACCAGCCCAAAGAGAGCCAAAAACATAACATGATGACGTTTTTGCGATGATAAATACAGATAACACACTCTTTTACAAAAAAAGACTACACAAGTTCTAAACCAGGGGCGGCACGGTGGCGCAGTGGGTAGCGCTGTCGCCTCACAGCAAGAAGGGCCTGGGTTCGATTCCCGGCTGGACGACCAGGGTCCTTTCTGTGTGAGTGTGTGTGTGTGATTGTGTATGTATGTCTGTCTGTCTGCCCTGCGATGGACTGGCAACCTGTCCAGGGTGTATTCTGCCTTCTGCCCAATGACAGCTGGAATAGGCTCCAGCGACCCATAAGGATAAGCGGTTTAGATGATGTATGTATGTATGTATGTAAGTTCTAAACTGAGACAAGGGCTTATTTAAACAGTAAAATGCTTTAACAAATAAAGCCTTGGACTCATCACTTGCAGGTTTCAATGAATCCCAATATTTTACCCCGAATTATGTACCCATATTTCAGTGTTGATAAATGAGGATGGCAAGCTACATTTTCAGATCTTCTAGCTTTTCATGCTGGTTATTTTGTATTTTTTTAAAATATCAAAAACATAATATTCATTTATGTTTTGCACACAAGGATGTACCTTTATGCATCACATCACCTGAGAGTGGAAGTGAAGCGAATTGGCAAAACTGCTTGTATTTAAAGACACAGCTGCTTTCTGAAGCAGTTTTGTGGAGAACAGTCAAGAGCCCGGTTGAGTTCAGTAAGCAACATGGAAATTTTCTTTTATAACATAACGGTAAAATGAAACATGGTAACATAAAGCCATGTATGCTGTTTTCTTTATATGTAATGGAAACAATTTAGTTGCTGCATCATAGCTATATCATACTTGACTCATATACCAAAGTACATACACTATATATCCAAAACTTTGTAGACACCAGTTCACCCCAAGTTCACACAGGCACATGTTAATGCCAAGTGCACATGAGGCCTTAGGGAGGTCAGGTACTAAGTTTGGATGATTAGTTCTTGATCACAAACACCACATCAACTAATCCCACAGGTACTGGTATGGTGACATTAGGCTCATGTGTAGCTGCTCCAGAGCATCCCATTCTACTGTCATTGCTTTTCCATGGAAACCACACAAGCTGTGTGTGCACAATTCATCACCTGTGTCAGCAGTGAGTGCACCTTAAAGTAGCTAAATTTAGTAAGGCAAGGTAGGTGTCTGGATAGTTTTAGACATAAAGTGTATCTTATGGAAACAATTTCCTAAACTGTCTGGAAACCGTAGGGGTGCTAAAGGAGCTGTTCAAAAACACAGATTTGTGAAATGTGCTAGTTCCCCAAGTGTGGTTGATTTGGAAGGACAGTTCCTGCTGTACTTTGTCAGTTTTCCACTGGAGCTACTTAAGCAACCTATCTGATGAAAGTTTACAGTCATGCAAAAGTTTGGGCACCCCTGGTCAAATTACAGTATTGTTGATTTTCTCCTCTACAGAGAACACACTTCTGCACGTTAATGCAAGTTTACTGTACAGCACAACAGCACTAAAGTTATGGCACACCGTTTATGCTTGAGGTTTTCACCAAATTACTCCTTTAACCTGCATCAGACATTAGTATAACACTATCTAATGACAAATAATACTTACAATTTAATTTCACGCCTTTATATCTTGAAACCAAGTGCCCTCATACACTCCTTGTGAGCTTCAATAAGATCTGTGCAACGTTCTTCACCCTTTTCAATGATGCTGCAAACAAACATTAACACAAACAGCAAGAAAACAAAATTACACAAACAATCTGTGGACAGATACAAATGCTTTGTTGGAACACCTAGCTAATACAAAATGTCTACCGAAGGTAAATGCACTCATTAAATTGGGCCTGCAGTTTTTTCAAAGGTTGATGGACTTTTAAAATAATAAATATGATGAGCATGACTCTCTTTAACAGTGAATAACCACATTATAATGAATTTTGTGGTTTTACAGCACTACAGAAGCATGGCAAGTGTAATGAACTTTATAAAGGGCCTACTAGTACAAGTTCAATTTATTATCCCATTCGTGTGAATTGTGAATCTGCAGTTGTTCACATGTATTTCTTACTGCTATATTTGATGTAAACACTTGACAACAACTGTTAGAAACATCACATGGAATAATGTAGCCCAGGCTTGTATGCAAATACACTAATTGATATCTACAGATAGTACTCATGGGGGGCTTGGACCTGGATTTAGTTCCTTACGTCTATACATGGACTCCTTTTTTCTTTTGATAACACTTCCTTCTATAAACTGTTCTTCTATAAAGCTGCTTTGAGACAACACTGGTTGTAAAAAGCGCTATATAAATAAATGTTGTTGTTATACTCTTCTACAAGATCTCCGTACCAAGCATCCCTTGCTTTTTTTGTTTCGGGGCATGCACAGCATGGTTTCAGAGGCTTCTTTTCTTGTGCCCCCTCGATTGCAGGTGTGGCCTCTACACTGGCAGCCGATATGGTTGACATTATTTTGCAGGAGCAGCTGTAAAAGCAAAGCAAAGCAAAATTATAATAGGAATTGTATAAACACAAAGCCGGTTCAAAGCTGGTCCACAATCATGTCAACATTTACAATTGCATTTACATTTACAACTACATTTAATCCAAGCCCTTTAAGGTGCATAGCTCATAAAATGTCCTAAAGCATTTAAGCCCCACACTGATGGGATTCATTCATTCATAAACTGTAATGTAAATATCAAAAGCCCCTACTGTTTTAAATGAGCATTTTCTAAAATAGCACTATGTTTTAAAACTGTAACAGTCAGCATTGTTAAATAAGAAAAAAAAAACAAGTTTATGGTGTGTGTATGTGTGTGTGTGTACACTGCAGCAAGTCACCTTGTAAACCTTGAAATAATGATTTAAAAGTTATAGGTGTCAGGTCAGATTTTGGGTAGTAGTTTTCATTTGTCAGGAAGAACCAGTTCTCAAATGCAAAATCAACATTACGCTGATGAAGATATCACGACAATAGTAACAACAGTCAATTAAGTCCTTGGAAGACAAGTCCTTCACCATGTTTTGACCTGCTTGGGGCGCAAAGCACAACCAACATCAAAGCCAAATGAGCACCCAAATGACAACAGAGGCCAGAAATAATATTTGTCAGTAGGAAGACAAATACTGCCTTCCTCCTGCCTTCAGTTAACAACTAAGGTTTCTAATGAATTTAAGGCAAAAATTACAGACTACACTGAGTAGCTCACTGGGTTTCACACTTTTGGGTCCACCTATTTTTACCTACATTCTTTGGAAAATTAATTAGAAACCTAGCAAACAGGTAGACTTTGTAGCCTTACAGTTACACATTATAACCCATTTGTAGCTACACTGTTTGTTTATTTATTTATTCTTTCATACATTTATTTCGTAAGTCTTTCTTATTTATTTATTGTACTGTACTGTCTCGCACTTCCCGTGTTGCACCATGTTCCTGGAGGAATGTTGTTTCGCTTCACGGTGTACTTGTATATAGCGGACATGACAAAGCCTGACTTGACTTTTTTACTGTATGTCAGCACACTGCGGCACCCAGTGTCAGAATTAAAAAAAATCTCAACATCTAAGCCAATTGTGCAATTGTGTATATCACTTTGAAAGTATTTCTACAGATTCTTCCCTTAACAAAGAACTACAACTAAGAACCAAAGGCAACTGAATAAAGAGAATGATTTGTCAGCAAGCAGGTTATTCTAATTCTAACGTGTCACAAATAACGTTGAACTTATCACAAACAACAGTCAGCAAGCGAGTTTACCACCAAAGCACGTCATGTATCGACAAAAATACAGTGTTTTATCAAAACACAGCTAAAAGATAACAAACCCCTTAAATAAGAAGATACCTAACATGAGGAAGTTAACCTCTAGCACACAGCGGCTAACGCGGAATCGAGCTGTCTGTCTGCCGTTCAGGTTCAACTCGCTTCGCAGCTCACTAACTCTGTTTCTGGGCTTGACCAGGTGAGAGAACCTGAAGTAACTGTGTTTACAACATTTATGAAATGTGTTTATAACAGTTATGAATTCAGAGACCATTTGGAAAAGGTGGTACTTGTCAGACTTACAGAAGGAGCAGCAGAAAGTTAAGGTCAGGTTCGTCCTTCCTCTCACAGCGTGGTGGAAACCAGACAGAACAACACGCGCTTATGTAAAACATCCGGGGCGTACGTAAAACAACGTCAAAATAAAAGTCTGAAGCAGGACGTTAGAATAGGAAACGATAAAATTGAAATAATCTCTGGATTTATTTATCCAGCCTGCTTTCTCGCCTCTACAACATTATTAAAAATAAAGTAATGAAAAATAATTTTAATTATATCAGGAGGAGTAAATGTCAGTCTACCGTATTTGCTTTATAACGCACTAACCTAGGTAAGTTATAAAACTTTGGGTTCTACACACAAATAGTGCACGTTGTGTCCAGTAGGGATAATCAGAAAAGAAAGATAATAGGTTCTTATGTATTTAAAAGTGTTAATATCAAATTCTCCCCAAATATGATAATGTTTAATTATCTTAGGGTAGCATTTTCCAGTTAAGATATATGTATTGTTACACTGTACATCCTGAATTTTATATTGACAAATACATCACGATAATGATAGAATAACAGAATCTTAAAAACGGTTGGTGATTTAGGCTCCTTGTTAAACCATAAATATTAAGTAAAATAAAAAGGATGTTTTCCACAGACAAAATAACTTCAACCCAGAGACCTATAAACTAGTAGTACCAGCTTTACCAGGAACGTTATTAAAGAGAATTGCCACACTAGAATACTTTGTAGAACGATGGCTCAAAATAATTCTATCACAAGACTGATTTATCTAAAACTGTCATCTCAACATCTGGCCTGGACTGTGTTTCCTGCAGAAGAATGCAATCTGAACCTTTGCAGAACAGGAAGATAACTTTTTGTTTTGCAGCATTTTAAACACAGATATACTAGATGTTGCACTGGGTTCAGCCAGGCACGTCAATACAGCTGTCAGACTGCATCCAATTACAGAGCAGCAGTTTAAGAAAGGTACTGTCCAAAATTTCATTAGCATAGAACTCAGGACAGTGCCTTCTACAAATACTCGCTCCCTGGTAAACATCAGCAAAATAGGCTATAAAAATATTCTTTATTCATTATTCTTTTGTGCAATGATTGAAAGAAAAAAAAAAACTGTATCTTGTTGTGAAATAAATCTATCTGGGCCACAATTGTTGGCACACCTTCATTTAATGCTTTGTGCAGCCTCCCATTCCTCCATACAGAACCTCTCTAGATCCTTCAGATTCCAAGGTCCATGCTGTGGACTCTCCTCTTCAGCTCATCCCACAGGTTTTCTGTGGGGTTTAGGTCAGGGAGCTAGGATGTCTATGGCAAAACCTTGATTCTGTGGTCCATTTTGTGTTGATTTTCAGGTATGCTTTGGATCAATGTCCTGCTGGAAGATCCGGCCATGGCCTAGTTCGAGCATCCTGGCTGAGGCTGTCAGATTTGGTTTAATTTCTTAATGAAGTCCATGATACAGCATATGCAAAAAGGTTTTCCAGGGACTTTGGAAGAAAACCACCCCCATGCATTACATATCCACCACCATACTTCACAGTGGGGATGAGGTACTTTTCTGCATAGCTACATTTGTGTTCACGCCAAACTCACCTCTCGTGCTTGTTGATGAAAAGCTCTACTTTGGTCTCATCTGACCGTAGAACACAGTCACACCTAAAGTTCTAGTAACATCTGTCAAACTATAGGCACCTGAGTTTGTTGGTCCTTGACAGCAGAGCCTTTTATCTGGAGGGCACTGTGTGTAACCATGTAATGTGCAGTGATTGATGTATAGATCTGGCCATGTGGTTGGTAAAGCACAGAGAACTTGTTGGTGTAATTGTTCTTCATCTAGTTTTAGATTAGCACCTTCTTACTGTGTCTTGGGTGTTTGCATTTATCTGTGTGTGTAGTTTAGAAGTGATTCATATATTCATATATAGATTTGCTGTCTGTTGTCTGTTGTTTGTAGTAAAATTAAAAGCTGGATGATGTTATGCGAAAATTCAATCTATACTGAGACATTCATTCACAGATTTGCTAAAGCTCAGAAGTTGTGATGTTTTTTCAAAGTGACGTATTTTGTAATTCGCAAAAAGCGCACAAGCACTCGTTATGACCACCACAAATGCGCAGATAGACGTCTCTGTGAAGCAGAAGATTCAGCCTTTGCTTTAATGCAGCTTAGTACCAGAAAAAATAGTACTAGTAGGAATTACATTTTAGCATGTAACTTATCACTTTGACTTAAATTAGCTAGTAAGAATTCATGGCTTTTCCCAAGCCAGTATAATGATTAAGTTTCTCACATTTTAAAAATTCAATTATATTTTTATATGTTAAAATTCTAGTTACTGCATGCTGAAATTTCTTGTTACTAAAGATTGATTTTTTTTTTCCTTTAACACAGAATTGAATTTGCACATACAATACATTACATGTAATAAATAATGTAATAAACTATATTTTCACTAGTGATTTTCACTAGTAGTAAATCAACTCTAACAGAGCTGCAACATGGGATTTTTTAATTTTACATTTACTTGTTGCATTTAGATTAACACATGTTAAAAGTTTGTTCATACTGGAAAAAATCCAATAACTGTGGGATGAGTTAATGTGGCGTTTGTGATTCAGAACTAATCATCCAGCATCAGCAACTGAAGGCACTAATGCTGTGGTGATTGAAGGCAATCAAATCCTCACAGCAATGTTCAAACGTGGAAGCCTTCCCAGAAGAGTATGAGGCTGTTACTGCAGCAAAGGGGGATAAACTGCCCTTTAAAGGAGAATTTCACTGATTTTTCAAAATCTCTGCATAACTACATGGCTAACATATAAACAAAGTAACTTAGAGTGCTTTGATGCAAAATGCTCCATTCTAGAGAAATTTACGGTCAGAATTATTCACAGTGGTGGTGACAGGAACCAGACGTCTGAAGAGTTTAATGCTTCTAAAAGCTCCCTCACAGAAAGTTATTAACAGTTATAAATACACTGCCTGTTGTCTGAGACTTTGTTTTATGATAGTTTTGTGATAAGATTTTGCCTTTAGCTGTAAGATGTAATTGCATCTGGTTCCTATCACCACCACTGTAAAGACAATCAGTGTTAGTACATTTCTCTACAGTGACCCATTTTCGCACCAACCCACTCTGCATAATGCAGAATTTTTGAAAAATAACAGAAAGGACTTCCAATTGTTCACGCGCCGGGAATCCACTAACGGTCACTGAAAAACAGACGAAGGGCAGAACGTCTCGGTCTGATTAAGTTAGCTTTGCGAGCCAGCGAGCTGTCGAAATGGATTAATTTAATGCCGAAATACGAGAACCAGCACCCCATCAACCCGGAGGAAAACAAACACCGAAAGTCCCCAACAGCACGCTGAGAACCCTACTGGATCTGCAAACGCTGGCAGAGAAGAGAACGGGTTTTCATACAGTGTACTGAAAAGTCTGCAATTTCCACAAGTTAACAAGATTACTCTGCATATATTTAGAAGTAAAGCCGCAAAGTAAAGAGCGTGCTCGTCAGAAAAAGACCGGGAAGTGGGTTTTACATCCTCTGAGCCCCCTGAGGTAACCTTATCATTGGCTAAGTAACGTTAGCTTAGCTATCTAAGCTAGCCGTTAGCTCTAACTCTGACTAGGCCTTTGACTCACTGTCCCGGCAACGCGACGGGGAGCTGAGCCAACTTCAGATGAGCGGATAGGGCAAATAAAACAGCTCGTAGACGTCTAGATAAAGTATGGTTTCGGTTAGCTTTGCGTAAGTTATACACAGCTACTTAATTTTAAGTTTCTGTTTTAGCTAGTTGGATACAGACAACCAAGAAAGTAACAAAAAACAACAAAAATATCACTCGGTTGATATTGAGTCACCTTAACGTTACCTCTAAAGTTAGAATTCGATATATTTGTACCTAACACTAACATCACTAAATGTAAACCAAATGACATATGATGATGAAAATAAATGAATTTTAAAAGGTAAACGTAACACAAATTTAATGATTTATCTCGCTTCCTTGATTGACTAATGATCGGTATGGATTTTACTTCACAGTTAAATGTGTCTATTTTATATTTCTTCTTAACTAAACAGTTAAAAGTTAACAGTGTTGTAAAGTTTCAGCTGTCTGATTTAGTATTTATTTTGATCTTTCAATGTGATCCAGTCCTTTTCCGTTCTTTTGTTAGTAGTAGTATTTACCTAGACTGATATTGATCCAGTGCAAAGTCATTAAGCCAAGCCATCATGAGTATTCACTGGAGATGCACACCTGCTCAAAACGTACGAGTCTTTCCACACCAACTCACCTAAACTCTTATAGGTCACAAAATTGACTTTAATGAAAAAAATCAAGTAAAAAATGCATGTAATTTAATTTATGCAACCATTGAATAAGTTAGAAGTTATGCTCAAAATATTATTTTTTAAAGTTTCCCCCAGCAAGCTCTAAATCACATTGTTGCTATCATGCAAAAATCCTTGCATCTCCATTTTTGTCCATTTTTACTTTTTTGCATATTTTAAAGCTCCACTTACTCTTTGCAATGTGTTAAAATTTCACTGTGAATAAATCATTAGAAATGCTCCAAAATGAACAAAAAAATATTGTTCCATTAACTTCTCATAAAAATGAAGATATTTTCCTTCTCCTCTAAAGTTGCCATTTTGGAGGTTTAGTTCCAACAGTGACAACATGATAATGTTTAGTTTAACTGCCTACAAAATGACAGGAGTGAGGTGAAGTATTAACTGAGTGCCTGAGGTCATGGGGTCAGAATGTCTCTCAAACTACAATCAAAGACCACCTATATAACCACAAGTTGTTTTTCTTCTGGGTTGCCTGAAGAAAACCTCTACTGTCAAGGACCGACAAACTTAAGCACCTACAGTTTGTCAAACATTACTGGAACTTTAAGTGGGACCATGTTCTATGGTTAGATGAGACCAAAGTAGAGGGTTTTGGTAACAAACACCAGAGATGAGTTTGGCATGAACACAAAGGTAGCCATGCAGAAAATTACCCCATCCTCACTATGAAGTATGGTGGTGGATCTGTGATGTTGTGGGACAGTTTATTCAGATACATAGTATCACAGACTCTATCAAGTA